ACAGGAGCCACCACTGCGGCTCCCTCTGCCCAATGTCTGCGTGGTGACACCCTGCCACTTCATGGTGGTCACTGAAGGGCCATCTGGGAAAATGAAGAACTCAGGTTTAACCCAAGTCCAGGGGTGTGCCCTTCGCATCTCAGGGCTCCAACCTTAAATGGGAATGACCATTGGAATGGCCTGAAGACCTGGGATGGGAGGTTCCATGGAGAACAGAAGGGGGACTGACCCACCCAGACGACCTCCCCTGCCCTGCCCCAGCTTTATCACTGGGGATAAACCACAGGCAAGTGACCTGCCCCCATGCTCAGTATCCTCATCTGTGAACTTGGTGGAGGTCGGGATCACATGAAAGACCCTTGAGAAATAGCTAGAGTGCTGCTCGGCCAGGATCAGCTATCATAGCAGTTCAAAATGGATCAGACTTAGGTTTTTTCACCTTTTCTCCTATGCGTTACTCAACTCAGGTCATTGCTGCATGCTCTCTCCCCCCAACCCACCTAACACCGGGATGTACAGAGGGGCTGGCCTGGCCCCCAGGCCCCACCCTGAGTTCTGCAGTCTTGGGCGGCACTCACCCGCAGTGATGGCAGGCTGGACAGCTCCCCGTGCAGCGTGGTTAGGTTGTTGTGGCTCACCGACAGGTGTTCCTGGGCCGGCACAGGGTGCAGAGGCTCAGCAGGGTGGGCTGGGCGTCCACAGAGCCCCCACTGGCACCACAGCTTTCCCCTGTCCAGGGACCCTCCCATAGAGCCCCCAAACACCACCACAGCCTTGCCCCACCCAGGCACCCTCGGCAACCCAGGTCCAGTCCACTCTTGCACCTTTCCTCTTTCACAGACCTAGCCTCTTCTTGTATACCTCCCGAGATAGGGTGCTCATCCCCTCTCCACCAGTTCTGCTTGTGACAGGCAATGTCCTGCACAGGCTCTGCCCACCTGGCCAGCCCCATCCACCAGGACCCTCCCCTGCCTACCCAAAGCCTCTTACCAGCTTCTGTAGGGATGCCAACTCCTCTGGCAGGTAGCAAAGGCCGGTGCGGTTTAGCTTCAGCCATCGCAGGCTAGTCATGGCCTTGACATTCTCAGGGAAGTAGCCACCCTGGGGGTATGTCACAGTGAGGCTGGTCTGGGTCATGGTACCCTTGCTCTGCCACCCTGTGGCCCCCACTGCCTGTGGGAGCCTTTGGGGGCAATAGTCACCTCTAGTTGGTGTGACCCCAGACACATCACTTAGCCACTCTGTCTCAGTTTCCTTACCCGAAGAATGGGGCTGATGAAAGCCCCCTGATGATAAAAGCGTTCTGAGAACCCACTGGTGATCAGGATGGCTGCTGACTTAAGACCCGCCTCTCCTGCTGAATTCTCGGCCCAGAAAGGCTTATTCTAGGTGCCACCCCACAGTCAGCTGTGTGGTTGGACCAACTCGATGTCTTTGCCTTGCATCCAAGCCCTGTCTGTGCAATCTGTCGAACTGCATGCACCCTGTGCCTCTGCCAAGGTCCCACCTGTGCTCTGCCAGCCACCCCCTGCATGAGGCCCCAGCTCCCCACCCTCTCCCACACAGGCATAACTTATTCATTAGTTCACTCACCCATCTGTCCCCCAAACTCCAATGCCCACCTCAGGACCCCAGCCCTGTGGCCAGAAGCCTGGGGAGGCTGGTGCCCCTCCTCCCTATGGCCACATTCCCTGCTGGTGACTCACTCTCCTAGACTGGAGAGGACACTTGGGGACTCCAGGTGAGGACGGTGGGGATAGAGACAGAGGAGTGTGCATGTCGTCAAGTGTAAGTACACACAGGAAGAAAGGGCCTGTCTCCTCTGCCCTGACCCCAGCCACTGCCTGGACCACTGGACTCTGCAGACCCAGGCTGGGGTCGGCCCACTCATTCTACCTGCAGCCCTGAGGACCCTCCTGGAACCAGGCGATCTCTCAGGGCCTTCTCTCTAGTCACCAGCCCTGCACCCTCATTCTCAGTTCTCAAGAACCACTGCCCCGCCCCGAGGCTGGGCTGGTGTACCCAGCGGCCCTGGTCCAGCAGTTTGGCAGCTGCTCAGATAACTGGCACCCAGGGCCTCGCACACCTGCCCAACACGCCCTCCACAACTAATCCCTGCCTCCAGGGGTTTCAATGTAAGCCCCTCCACCGGACGAAAAAACAAGGCTCCGAGAGGGAAGTGACTTGCCTAAGACCACACAGGATGCGGGTGGCGGGTGCCGGTAGCGCAGAGCCGGCGGCGCAACCATGAGTCAGGGCCCGGCTTGGGCTGTGACCTCACAGGGGCGGGGAGGGCTGGGGAGGCGCAAGCTCGAGCTCCGACCGGGACCCCCGGCCGGCCTGCCCGGGCCAGGCGCCAGGACCGGGCCCGGTGGGCAGACCCCGCGCGCCCCGGGGCAGCCCCGGGACCCTGCGCGCGCCCGCCCGCCCCGCCCGGCCTGGGCTGTCTACGCGGGCGCCGGGCGGAGGCCTGGGACGTCGGCCCGGGGCGGGGTCTGGGCAAGCCCGTCCACGGTCCCGGACGCGCAGGAAGCGGAGGGGCGGGCTGGGGGTCCCGGCCGCCGCCCCGAGGCTCACCTTGAAGTCGTTGCCGCTGAGATCCACGCCGCGTACAAACGGCAGCACCCCGGTGCCCTCCATGGCGGCGCTGGGCTGAGGGGAGCGGACCGCGGGCGGGGCCTGGCGCTCGGGGCGGGGACCGTGGAGCTGGCGGGGCGGGGAGCGCGCCGGCCCCGCCCCTCAGCCCGGGCCGCTCCGGACGCGCCCCGGGCCAGCCCGGGGGCGCGGGGCCCCGGTGCCCCGAAGGGCCTTCTCGGCCCGCGGCTATCCCTGCGCTGGTCAACGCCGGGGACCCGGGTGGTTCGGGCAGGAGTGGTAGTAGGACGCCCGGGTTCTCGTCCGGAGCCACGAGCCTCTCTCCGAGAGACGCTCCGGGGCCAGTACCCACACTCCTAGGCGTCCCGGCTCGGAGGCGAGCCCGGGTGCGCGGTTACGTGCCCGCTTGCCCCTCGAGGGAGGCGTCCCTGGGCCGGCACATGACGGTCCCAGTAGGTGACAGGACCAGTATCCGCTTCACGAGAGAGGCGGCCGCAGACTACAGTGACCAGGAGCTCCACCTGATGCCTCCTTAGCTGGGAAAGAGTTCGCGTTCCCACCGGCCGAGTCCGGGAGCACGGCCCTGCGCCTTTAAGGCGGTGCTCGCCGAGGAGCCCCGCCCCGAAGGGCGCTCGGCCGCCATTGGCCGAAGCCGCCACAGAGCGGCACGTGGGCACGGGTCTTGAGCCCTCTAATTGGATTCGGGGCCTGTCCGTCTGCGAGCCGGGGGCCCGCGCCCGCCCCAGCCCCAGGCCTCGGCGTTCGACTCCCGGGTCCTGCACGTTCTATTCTCAGGCGGCCCCGGGGCGCGGCCCGAGCGGCCCCCTGCGTCCCCGGGCCGGGGCGCCGAAGCCGCGACGCAGGTACGGCCGGGACGCGGGGCGTGGCCTTCACCGGCCGCGCGGATACGGCCGGGAGAGAGTTGGATCGGGCCGATCTCTGGTCGCTTCTTGGGCCCATCCCGGCGTTCCCCCGGCCTCGGTGTCCTCGCGGCTGGGACTTGGGGGAGGCTAGGGGAGGCCTGGTCTTTCCCTCTCCCCTTCCCTGGTTAGGGTCTTCGCGCCCTGGGTCAGACAGGCGGGGGTTTTGAGCACTTTACAGTTTGGAGGCGGTTGGCAGTCCTGATGAAGGAAGCCGCCGCGGGGCCACGCTGGGTCAACCCTCTCCGTCGTCTTTCCTATTTTTAGCTTGGGAAAGGGGGGCGGGTGCGGGGCTGCAGGCCCCACCTGGCAACCGGGCTCGGGCATCCGCTGGGAGCAGGGCAGGCAGAAGTCCTTGGGGCTGAGTTGGCTCTGAGCTCAGGGTCATCTGTTCAGGCATCCTCAGGGTAACAGTTCTGCCTGGCCATCTGACTGGTCCCCTGGGCTTGTCCCTTGGTCACACACCCCGTCAGTGCTCAGGACCTGAGGGCTGGGGCTCAGCCTGCCAGGACTGGAGAGATGCCTGAGGTCCCAGCCACTGGTACTTCTGGGTTCCGCATGTCTAACGGTTTCTCGTGGCACCTGCTCCATCTTACAGACGAGCTAAGAGTATCGGGCACACTCAGGCCCTCAGCTCACCTGCTGTGGCCTGGGATCTCAGCAGCTGAGGCCCCTCCCCACCCACTGTTGTCCCTAGCCTCAGAGGCCCTTGTCCAGGGCATTGGGACCGGCCTTGTTGTGGTCTTTAGAGGCCCCTTACACCCTGTCCCCATAGCGGGCTCTTCAGCCTTGTCTGACACATACCTGTTGACAGCCAGCCCTTGCCCCCCGGGGTGTCCTGGGCCATCTCACCTGTTCTGTTCTCTGATTTGGTGGCCCTGCCTCTGGGGGCTGCCATGCTGAGATTTGGGGTAACTGTGGCCCCCTGAATTTCACTGAGGTTCCCTCAAAGGCCTGAGAGGCTGTCCAGTGCAGGTTGCCTGGGTCCCCAAGCCGTGGTCTTCTCTGGGCCTTAGTTTTCTCCTGCAGGGCCTGGTTAGGAACCAGGATAAGGCTGCTCCTGGGACCTGGTCATAGGTGGGGTCCGAGTCCCCACCACTCACTGTGTGGTCAGCAACCTATTTCTTTGTAAATGGGGATGGTGCTGATAAGACCGACCTCATGATCTTTGGCAACATCAGGGGGCCTGGAAGGTGGGATCAGGGAGATTGTCTCCCTTCTCTGACCTGCCATGGGCCTTAGGGTCTTTCTCTGTGAGCCCCTTGTCATAGAGATGGGTTGTTTGCAGGTTTTGGTGGAGGGAGGTCTCTGGGCCAGCTCCCAGTCTCCTCCCAAGAAAACCTGCAGGCAGCCCCTTTCTCATCAGAAATTCTCTGGAAGCCCCCTTGTGACCCCGACTCTGACCATAGGGCACCTGCCTGGATGCCAGGCTGGCCCCTCACTGAGTGGCCCCTGCACCCTGGCTCCCTTACAGGCGGACTGACCATGGCGGAATTCTCCCAGAATCGGAGCAAGCGGCGTGATGGCGAGGTGCTGGGCGGCGCTGTAGACTTCCTCCTGGCCAATGCCCGCCTGGTGCTGGGAGTGGGTGGGGCTGCGGTGCTGGGCATTGCCACCCTGGCCGTGAAGCGGGTAAGGCTGGGCTGGCCCGTTGACATGGACTTCACAACAGGGCTGGGGAGGTGGGACTGCCTGAGACCGCACCTGCCCCTGCCCCTCACCTGGTTGGCTCTGCCGTGGCCGCCCAGGCCTCAGATGCCCTCACCTGTGTCCCTCTGCCTGCAGCTCATTGACAGGGCCACCAGCCCCCGGGACGAGGACGACGCCAAGGGGGATGCCCCATGCCTGGAGGACAGCTGGCAGGACCTGAGCCTGCTCAAGGCCACGCCACGCCTCCAGTCCCGGCCCCCGCCCGCTGCCCTCAGCCAACCGGTGCCGCCTCCGGCCCCCTCACTCTCTGCCCCAGGTGAGCGGCGCCCCTTCCTCTCTGACCTGGGTGGGTCCTGTTTCGGTGGTCACATTTGGGAGATGTAGCCCAGGTCCTGCCCTGGTGACCGTGTGACCTGCTCGGGTCCCTGCTCCCTGTGGGCTCCCTTGTGTGTTGGATGCCTTCTCCCTCCTACATGGTGCTGAGGCTCCAGCCACCAGGACGTGAGACCATGGGGGCTGGCCCCAGAGCGAGGTGGCAGCGTTGTGATGGCGGGGGCCCTCACCTGGGGAACCGAGACCTGGGGTTTCAGCCTCAGGGTGTTGGGAGGGGCCTCAGATGGTGAGAATTCATCACTGAGCTCAGTACCATCTCAGGTGGTCCCATTACAACCCCTCTGACCAGCCCCCGGTCCCTTCCCTCTTTAGAAGGGCCCGCTGACACAGGGCCCCAGACGTCGCCTCAGCTTAGCTCGCCGGCACCGCCACTGTGTCTGATGTTCCAGGAGAAGCTGCTGGCTTTTGAGCGGGACCACGTGACCATGCCAGGGGCTCACGTGTCTCTGGCCAAGCAGCTGGTGGGCGACATTGCCCTGGAACTACAGGCCTACCTGCGGAACAAGTTCCCAGACCTGCCCTTTGGGGCGCTCGTGCCCGGCGGGCCGCTCTACGAGGGGCTCCAGGCGGGGGCTGCAGATCCTGTGCGGCTCCTGGTGCCCCTGGCACTGGAGCCAGGCCTGTGGAGCCTGGTGGCTGGCTCGGACACTGTAGCCCAAGACCCTCGCTGCTGGGCTGTGCGTAGGACTCAGTTGGAGTTCCGTCCCCGTGGGAGCAGCCCCTGGGACCGCTTTCTGGTGGGCGGCTACCTCTCCTCCCGGGTCCTACTGGAGCTGCTCCGCAAGGCCCTGACTGCCTCCGTCAACTGGCCAGCCATCGGCAGCCTCCTCGGGTGTTTGATCCGGCCACGTGTGGCCTCGGATGAGCTGCTGCTGGAGGTGCAGCACGAGTGCCTGGAGCTCACCATGGCTGTGCTGCTGACTGTGGCCGGAGCCCAGGATGGAGACCTCTTGCTGGCCTGGCCCCTGGAGGGGCTGGCCGGGAACCTCTGGCTGCAGGACTGGTACCCGGCTGAGGCTGCCCGGCTGCGGGCCCTGGATGAGCAGGACGCTGGGACCCGCCGTCGGCTGCTGCTGCTGCTCTGCACTGTCTGCCACGGTCACCCAGCTCTGTGGCGGCTGGGCCGGGACCGCCTGGCTCAGGTGGTTCTGCACCTGGGTGAGCAGGAGGCTGACTGGGCCGAGGCGGCCCTGGGGGAGCACTTCCTGCAGGCCCTGGAGCTGCTGCTGGGCAGTGTGGAGCGGGCCAGCCTGCCCAGCCACTTCAACCGTAGCGTGAACCTCCTGGATGGCCTGCGGGAGGAAGAGATCGACGACCTGGGCTTTGCGCTGTACCGTGGCCTACAGGCCCCTGAGGGGCTGCTCTAAAGGGTGGACGCAGCTGGGCAACACCCGACACCGCCGCTTTTAGCTGGAACGAGGGGGTGTGGGCGGCCCTCTTGGCCTGCAGGAGCTGCCGTGAGTCCCAGGCAGGGATGAGGCCACTGTCTTTTTCTGTCCTGAGGGTGAGTCATGATTCCCTCAGGTGCGGGCATCTCCAGGCTGCTGGTGCTTGGTGGTGGACAGTGTTTGGTCCCCCTGGGGCTTGGAGTCACCTGGGATCCTCAGAACATAGCTTTTGGCTGACCCTCAGGCCTGTGTTTTCCGTGCTGTGTGCCTGGTTTGCTCTCTAGCCTGGACTAGCGAGGGCTAACCTGGGGGAAGGCCCTTCCCCTCTAGCCACGGAGGCCCTGGGAGGGCTCTGTCCTCACTGGGGGAGCCAAAGCTCTCTGTGCTGCTCACCTGGCTCAGAGTCTAGGGTACCCCTGGCTGCTGCCAGCCCAGCCCCCACTGTGCCAACACCAGCTGTCCTAGCTGACCCTGTGCTCTCCCTGGAGCTGGTGGGGGCTGGGGCGGGGTGTGTTGTCTGCCTCCCCTCCCCGGCATCTCTCCTGTCTCTGGTATCCTTCCTGCCGAAGTAAAGCTATGCCGCAAGGACTGTGGATGAGAATAAAAAAAACTCAAATGTCAGTGAGACACGTGTTGGGCTCTTACATGCAGCCATTTGAGGCTCTGTGAGCTTGGCCAGAGGGGCTTGGGCTCAACCTGGAAGCAGGAGACTGACCTGGAGTGGCACCTAGCTTTAGTAACGGGCACCAGCTGGTCAGGGTTTCCTTTCCTCCAAAAAGCGTGACCCCTGGAGCCCTGTAATCTGGACGGGTGGGGCTGCCAGGGGGCCCTCTGGCCAGCAGTGGTCCACATGCAGAGTCATGGACCCTCAAGTGGAGGACAGGCTCCCTGCTTTGTACAGAAAGGGATGCAGGCGTATCTAGGTGTCCCTGTGGGAGCTATGGCTCCCATGTAACCCCATGTGGCAGACGAGCCGGGGAGGGCTTGGGGCCACATGGGCTTGGGGTAAGGCCCCACAGCTGTGTCAGGCCCCTCCTTCCTGCCCCATGTGTCCTGAGGTGACCCCCTCCCAGCTGGGATGTGGGGACAAGGCTGGAGGAGGTGCTCTTGAGCACTGGTTGCAGGGCCAGTGGCCTCTGCAGATCAGGAGGGGCTTGCCTCCCGGGTGTTCCCATGGGCTCAGTGGCTCTGCAGAGGGGCAGAGGGCAGGAGACTGGCTTCCCCAAGGGCTGTTGGGTCACCTGGTTCAGGAGCTGTCTGGCCTGAGTGCCCTTGGTGGTGAGCAGCTGTGATGGTAGCAAGGGGACAGGCTGGAGGTGGGGCAGCCTTGGCCTCCTCCCTGCAAGATGAGGGTTCCAGAATACCTACCTCACAGGTGGGGGTGGGGTGTTAACCCAGTGCTGGCACAGCAAGGTGCCCCTGAACCAGTGACCAAGACAGATGGTCCAGCGTCTGCCAAAGTTGGGGTCCTCTGGAAAGTCTGTCCAGATGAGACAAGTCCTTTAATGGATTCACTCATGAGCAGGATCCCTCAGGACAGTGCATCACATCCAGAGCTGACCCAGCCAGTGGTTTCAAAAAACCGTGCTATTATTAAACAGAAAAAGGCCCAATTAAAGTCTGCATGGGAGCTCTCTCGCTGAGGCTGCAGACTGGGGGCCTGCTGGGCACACCCACACTCAGGTCCCTGGGGATCTCACCAAGCCTCCTGACGGGGTTGTAGTTAAGGTCCAAGGGCCCTGACGGGCAGGGCTGGAGTGGGATGGGAGAGGGAAGCCCTTAGCTCTAATCCAGGACCACTGCTGCCCCCAGCCTGGTCCCCTCCAGGATAAGCAGCCTTCAGCTTGGTTTAAGTCATGTACATCTGATGCATTTGCATTTTTAAGCGTATTCTTTTACAATGAGGATAGTCTTTTAAATACTCTCCAAATTAAAAAAAGATTAAAAAGTTAAAATCCCAGTAACATGACCGTTTGGTGGCACTCTGTTCACTGAGGACAGACACCAAAGGTGGTGTCGACAGCGCAGTGCTCCCAAGCCCAGCATGGGGCCTGGATGCTGCTCTGGGTGTTCTCAGCAAAGCCAACCACTTCCTGAGCCAGCAGTTCAGCTTGTGGGCCTCAGGCTCGCCCTCCTGTATGACCTCAGGGAACTTTCCAGGCTGACCCTGCACCTCTGCCCAGCATGAATATTGGTGGAGACAGGGCAGTACACCCCTGCCCTGCGGAGCAGGCCCCTCCCACCTGTGAGCTGAACACAGACGCAGCTCAGGAACCCAAAGCAGAGGTCCGGGGGGAACGGTGGTCGATGCACCACCAGGGCAGCGGGGCCTCCGCCTAGCATCCTGGGAAGCCTGTGTGGAAAGCTCCCTCACAGTGTCCACCCATCTATGTGCAATGGTCTCACCACCTGGGCTGACAGCAACCCTGCCCCCAGAACTCCCACCAGGCCCTGTGAAGGCCCAGCCCAGGGAGCCCAGCAAATGGTTGTCGGCAGGACCCCGAGTCCCACCTGGCAATTCTGGTCCTGGTGGGCACGGGGGCTCCCTGTGGAGAGACTGCAATCCACAGATGAGTTGAAGGTAGCATCCTTCAATTCAACAGCAAGAGCACAAACAATCCCACTGAAAAACGGGAAAGGTCTTGAAAAGACCTTTCATTTCTCCAAAGAAACATGAAAGGTGTGTGAGCAGTGAAAGCATGCCCAACTTCAGTGCTCACTGGGAATATGCAAGTCAAAGCCACAAGATACCACCTCAGGCCCACAAGGATGGCAATACGGGCAAGGACATGTTGGCAAGGACGTGGAGAAAGGGGAATTCTCTGGTGAGAAGGTAAGATGCAGCTGCTGTGGAGAGTTTAGTGCGTAGAATTAAATGACCCAGCAAACCCACTCCTAGGTGTGGATCCATAAAAATACAGGTGTTCAAATAACTTGCATACAGAAGTTTACAGCTATACTGCTTCCAGCAGCCAGGGGGTGGAAACACCCCTGTGCCCATCAACTGATGACAAGTGAACACGGCGGACTAGCTCAGTCAGAAAAACACACAAAGTGCTGATGAGTGACCATGAGGGCCACCCCAGGAGAGAAGGCACTCAGAGAGCAGAGGCAGGCCACAGCTGTGCGGCTGTTTATGTGAGATGCTCAGCACAGGTAAAAACCAAGGAGACAAAGTGGACTGGGCCACTGGGCTAAGACCAACACCCACTGACCAGATGCTCCAAGAGCAATTCTGGGCAGCCCGCTGTCCAGTCCAGGTGCAAGGGCTGGTCTGAGGGAAGGGTTTGGGGCCAGGAGTCCCAGAACAGTTCGCTTCTTCACCAGCCATGCAACTCAGTCACACCCAGCCTACTCCTACTGGTCATCTGAGCTGCAGAGCCAAGTCCACTGATTCCCACTCGGCTCCTCTTGGGAGGCCAGCACAGCAGTATCTGTACCAGTTCTTCTTTGCCCCAAAGGACAACGATGGGGCTAGGGGAGGCCAGGCAGGTCAGCACTGCCAGGTGTCCTGCCAAACTTCCCCAGACGCTACACCATCACCTGCCAGGGTCAGGGAGCTGGATTCTTTACCGAGGCACCTGAGCTGTGGGGCGTCCTGGCTGCAGCTTAATAGAGGCAAAAACCTTCCACAGACACAACCTCCAAACAGGAGCCTCCCCCTGGCATCCCATCCTTTTTCAGACCATCTATGGATGGAAGCCCCTTGCAGATAAGGCCAATCTCCACTAAGGTGTTGACAGCACAGCCCCTGTGAATCGCAGAAGGCAGCCTCTGTGGCTTCTCAGCCATGGACATGGTTGTTCCTGGGTCCCGCACAACAGGGCCACTGTCCAGCAGAGAGAAAGATCTGGACCCGGACTCAACACACAGGCCAAACCCCGAGAGCTGCTGGTGGCCCCTGAGAAACAACTTGCTTCCTAAGACATGAGGGCAGTGAAGAAGGGCAGGTGGTCCCCTCAGCCCGATGTTGCCTCATCTGTTCTGAGGACAGAAGGGACGGGTATGTCCAGGCTGGTGGCAAAGGCTGCACTTCCGAGGTTTCTTGGCTGCAGACCCCATATCTGAGGAGCCAGCCCGAGCTCTCTTGCTTCTGGCCTCCAGTCCCTGGGTTCCTCCTCTACTTCCTGGCCAAAGGGTGCCTCCGAAGGTCCCTGTGGGGAGAATGGGAGGTTGCTGAGTGCAGACGGGAATGCCCTCCAAGAGCCTTGCCACCATGGCCTACGTCAGGAACCCATGTCACCTCATATGCAGAGACAGGGACCTACTAGGCAAGCCACCTGATCGCGTGTGGATGCGACAAAGACAAGCCGGCTGTGACCAACACTCACTCCCACCTGCCGTGTGAGAAGCCTGAGCTCTGGACACTCCCCGTCCCTCAGGAGCCTCACAGCATGAACCGCCCCATCACCCAGGACCAAAGACACCACCTCCTCCCAACAGGAAACCCTGACTCCCGCCATGCAAGAGGTGGTCCAGCCTTGATGCCTCCCACAGACAGACTGCCTCCTCCAAGGCAGACGTGGGTCCCTGGAGCAGTGGTGTCTCTGAACCCTGGCCTGCACCCAGGCTCTGGGCTCTTCCTGTGTGTGCAGACCTGTCACGTGTGTGTCAGGATCACAGCTGCAGATTAACAGGAACAAGAGAAAGGGAGGAGGTGCCCCAGCTTACTGAGGAAACAGGCTGAGAAACCACACCAAACGGTTCAAGGACATACAGCCAGGCCCACCACAAGGCCATTCGGTCTCTCTCAGATACCTGATCAGGTATCTGCGGTGTCCCAAAATGGCCAGGTACCTTCAGGTACCTCATCTACCTTGACCCTAAGTCCGGGCAGCAGTTCTCCCCACACCCATCTGCAGGGGGCCACCCAAACCACGTCACCCAGGGCAGGTTCCAAACATCAGGGCCAGGGCTTCCGTCTTACTACACGAGGACCCAACACAGACCCTTCCAGCTTCACAAAGGTGAAAGGGGCTCCCACGTTAGGCCTGGCTGTGGGGATCTAAACAGGCCATGTGGCCAGTGTGGGCCTCATGGCCCCCATCTGGGAGGCACGACCACAAACACCACCCAATGGAGACAAGAGCAGCTGTGTGTGGAATACTGCACAGTGCCAGGGGCAGAGTAGAGTGCCTGTGACCTCGCGGGGGTGAAGTGACCAGGCAGGGAGGGCAGCCCCGCCGCCTCACCTGGGGCCATGTTCTCGTCCACCCACTGGAAGAAGCCGCACTGCTGCTCACGGGGCTGGGCGCACGTGTGGAACTGGCGCCCCTGGTTGGGCCCATCCTTCTGCACGGTGCGTGTGACGACCGGCTGGCCACACAGGCAGGATGCACCACCGCTGCCACCGTTGCCGGGCCTGCCGGACCCGCCTGGAAGAGTCCCTGAGCCTGGAGGGCGTCCCAAGGGGCCGCCCGGGGGTCTGGATGCTGAGGGAGGCCCGGCTCCCGGGTGGCCGCTGTCAGCCCACAGAAAGAAGCTGCAGCCGCCACCGCCGCACTTGTAGAACTGGCGGCCCTGGTTGGGCCCCTCCTTCCGGACGGTGAGCAGCAAGGCCTCCTGGCCACAGTTGCAGGTCACCGAGTTGCCCTCACTCTCAATAGCGGGTGGAGGCAGAGTCCTGGTCAAAGCCTTCGAGGGCTTGGTGACGGGCGGCTGGGGCTGGCCCTGCCGGCCACTGTCCATTCTGTTCAGGGACTGGCTAGCCTGCAGGTGGCCGGAGGTCTGGCTGGCGGGCTGGCCGACTCGGGGGGCGCCCCGTGAGAACCTGAGGGCCAGGATCTCCCTCAGGGTCTCGTCACACCCGCCGATGCAGCCGACAAATTCGAGGGGCATGGTTGGGGGCAAGCTGCCTCGTTTAAATTTGAACTTCAACCTGTGAGGACAGAAGATGACAAGACACTCAACTCTTGGGTGAAGAGTCTTCTCCTGGGTCCACAGGGGGCTCTCCCGCCACCCCCCACCCCAGGGAAGCCACACAAAGCACAGCTACCTGGCCCTCCAGTCGTCACAAGAGGGAGGACGGTTCTGGGGGGGGGGTGAGCTCTAGGACCCAGTTAACCGCCCACACCCAGGTGCCTCTGAAAAGTGCCTGTCCTCGGGGCCCCAGTGCAGCAAGGTCCAGGGCCCCTTGGTGTGTGGCTTGGTAATGGCGCCCAGTAGCAAGGTGGGGCTCTGCTCTACTGTTAAGCCAGATGTTACACTGGCAACACTGCAACACAGCCTGTTCTCATTTTTTTGCTTTGAAAATAAATAAACCTTTATCCTAAAGACCTACTGTTAGGATGCAATTGTTACAAACTAACAAGCATTTAAAAACCTGCTTTCACTTTGAGAATGTGGTAAATCCTCATAAACATAAGTTCTCTGAGATCCTTGTGATTTCTGACATGTGACCAAAGGTCCAAGGACCAGTCCTGGGCGTCCAGCTCACCTGTAAACAGGGTGCGGCTGACACACTGGACACACGCTCTCATCCCTGCTGGCCTCTAGCACGCTGTCCGGGAACCAGACGGCCGACCGACACTCGGGAAAGCCCGTGCAACTGAGGTAAAACCTGGGGAGCAAGGCTGGGTCAGATGGGTGTCCCCGACCCTGGGATGGTTGCATCAGTGGAGACACTTCTGTCTGATCACAGGTGACACTCGAGCTTCTGGAGACACGGTCCGTGACACCAAGTGACGAGAGCCCCAGCCTGCACTGTGTCCCTGAAACCCCCTCAATCACTGGTGATGCTGTCTCCTGATGAGAAACCACCAAGCCGCCACCAGCGCCCAGACTGAAGTGGGGCCTGGCTGCCCCGAGCCCCCAGCTGGACGCGCCTCAGGAAACACAGGCCTCACCCTCCTGTAGCTCTGTGAGGAGCAGACGGGCTCAGTGGGTCACTGATCAGGAGGCCTGCGCCACCGTACACACATGGAGCATTGTCCATCCCCAGGGGACAAGCCCTGCCCCCACCAGCCCTCAATTCCCACGAGGCCTCACACCCCTGAGGCCACCATTTCAGCACCAACACTCAGTCTGGGAACTGGTGAAGCAGGCCTGCTTTTAAACAGGACACAGAACCAGAGGACGGGCCTGCACAGCAGTACTGGCTCTCAGGGGTGTGGGTGGGGGTGGGGCACAGCCAGACACCGACCCGCCGCTCTTCCTGGTCTTGAGAACCATGTCCTGGCCGCACTGCGGACACTTCCTGATGGGCTCGGGCACAGCTGGGAGGGCTTCCTGCGGGGCCACCTCTGCAGCCGCCCCGAAGTACTGGGACAAGGCCTCATCCAACCTGAGGAAATGGAGAGCGTTCACAGCATTCTCAAGTCAGGTGCCCACCGTGCGCGTGTGACTCACACAGCATTCTCCCACAAACGGGGCCGTGTGGGCCACGCGGCCTGCTTCCAAGGTGGCCACTCCCGGGAGTGATCCAGCTGCAGGCAGGTGCCCCTGCCTCACCACCTGCCCCACAGCAAGCAGACCTTAGGCCACACACACACTCGAGTTGGTCCGGAATCAAGTCTAAATGGCTCGTGCATTTCTTTTCCAAATTTGCACGGGGTAAAAAAATGTGTTATTCCCAACAGAATACATAGACATGCTACCTGCTATGGTCACCCCCAAAGGCCCAAGAAAACAACGGGGCACATGCCCACACATGGTGAACCCACAGGCAAACTGTGCCGCCTGCTAACTCAGGATGGGATGGAAACGGTGTTTCTAAAGCCCAGAATGACTGGACCAGACCCTCATGGTTACAGTTGCTAGGCTGACAAGGCTCTGGGGTGAGGAGCCAAACAAACAGGGGAGGAGAGAGGGGAGACTGCAGGCGGGGGTGAGGTGCCTGGCAAGACCACAGTGCATGGAGCAGCTATCCCCAGGGCCTAGCGGGCCGCCCAGCAGTGCCCGGCACTCACTTCCTGGCTTTGGCCACAGCTTCGATGAACACCTGCTTGTACTTCTGCACCTGCTGATGCAGGACCACCAGCTTGTCCTTCTTCCCCTCGCAGATGAGCTTCAGGTCAGCCTCCAGCTCGGCCCGCAGGTCAGGCTTGGACATCTCGTAGCCCATGGAGTCATAGCCTGTGGACAACAGTGGCATCATGTGGCCCGGATACACTGTGGAGCTTCATGACCACCACCCGCAAAGCCCCTAGCTCCTCACCTTCCACGAGCCCCATGCCCAGGTGTCCAGGGAGAAAGCGCTTGTCTGGCGTGAGCCCGACGTACATCCGGGCCTTGATGGTCTCGATATGCTCGGCATGCGTGGCGTCCGTACCTGTAGGCCACTCCCGTCACTCAGGCTCATCCTTAGCCCCCAGCCCCACAGGCCCCTTTCTCTGCCTGGACTTCCCACTCAGAGCCAGCCGTGCAGAGGCATTGTCAGCAACCATACCTCTCCCTCACACCCATTCACTCCAGTGGTCACGTCCCGCTGTAAATCCTTCTATAAGCTCCTCCCCTCACCTCCCTCTGCAGTGAGGGATGGAGCCCTGCCCTGCTCCACCCACTCCCCATCCCCCAACCCCTTGTGGCGCTGGCCACCCTGGACTTGGCTGCCCTTAGAGCTCTGGTGAAAACTGAGGGGCAGCAGGTAAATCACAAGGGACCCACCTGTAAAGCCAGGGCCACAGGACTAATGGGAAAAAGTATTCTGGCCCAGTTTCTTTAAAAAAAAAAAAAATTTCTGATTCTTAAACAACTATGGGAAATGCTTTAACAGAAGCTAAGCACGTGGTCATCCATGGAGAACCCGAGAGGCAGACTCAGATCGCACAGGGACCCTGCATGTGCTAAGCAGGTGAACAAAGCCAAGCGTGAATGCCAGAAAACTGCCACTCTTGGCTGCCAAGCTGCCAACCCCTGATGCTCCTGAAAAGGAAGGTACCCATTTTTACATGGGTCTCGACAGTTTCAAATGTTGGTACCTTGCTAAATGTAAAACAGAAACAAATCCCTGTGAGGGCCAAGAACACTGGGCAGTGTGGCCCAGGGGAGCCCCAGTGATGGGGAGCACCTGTGTCCACATGTGGATGCACAGGGCCGAGGCCAAGGGTGCCAACTGTGGTGTCACCTAGACCCAGGGGTTCACAGTTCACACACTCTGTGCCCTGAGGGGAGTTCTTCACTGCTTCTGAGCCTCCCTTCAGCCAAGAAGTACCGGTTACCATGACGACCAGCTACTGACCGATACCGTGCTTCTCCATGAGGGCAATGAGGTCGGCCTCAGTGAGCAGCTGCGGGGGACTGGTCTCCCCATCCACCATTTCCACAGTGCTGGGCTGAAAGCAGGTGCCTTGCTCGTAGACAGGGAGGGTCTACAGGGGCAGAGACACAGCAGTCAGCCCAACCTGGCCCCTGGGCCAGGAACAGGACAGTCCCCCAACCCGAAGTGTCACCTTGTCGCTCCAGCGATCATACGGGTACACGTCCAGATAGTTCCGGGCCAGGATCATGAGGCCTTGGGCCACAAAGCGCTCCTGTGCAATGTCAATCTCCACGATGGTCTCCTGGCCCTGGGCATCCTGCGAGCAGCAGGCCAGGAAGTGGCGGACGATGAGCTCGTACAGCCGCTGCTCATCCCCCTGCGGGCAGAAAAGGAGCCTGAGCACCTCCAGACCCTGTCCGGCCAGTGCTGCCTCCCAGCCCAGAACTCTGCCAACATGTGCAGGGCAGGCAAATCCCCGCTGCTTGTGGGTTCAGGCCCATAAACTTCACAACTGGAGTCCCCTTCCCTCAAGACTGGAAAGCAACTCCTCTGACATAAAGCCGATGTGAGCAGGAAAAAAGGTGAAAGCAAGTTTCCAAGAGGGCCCATGTATGCAGGACATGAAGAGTGAAGACACTCAGGCAGCCTCAGACCTACCACAAACAGAGGGTTCACGGCAACCTCTCCACTTTCAGTAACTAGGGACACCGTGAGGCCCCCTGGCAGGAAGCTGTAAGACGTTCACACTCAGATCCCAAATCCTCCTCTAAGAACGTCTACAAGGGAGACGTGACATCCACACACACAGCCACTGTGCAAACAATATCGAATACAATCCTTCAAAGCCAGACCCAACAAATATAGCACAAGCACACAACCGTTAGACGTCATGCTGCACCCAGTCTCGGGAGAAGGTGCTAGCTGTGTGAGGGCTCAGCGAAGGGGCCGCTCAGTCTGCTGGAGGGTCAGGGGAGCAGTGGAGGGAGGGGACAGCGTGGGGCGGGGCCTGGGCAGGGCACAGCCCCTGTGGGATCCGTCAGGGAATCCAAGCGCAGACTGTGGGAGGAGAGTGTTGATGTGACATCTCTTCCCCGCAATGAAGAGAAATTTTCAGTCACGTTGTTCCTGAAGTGAGAGCCCCGAGCCCTGACCTCCTTGAGGGTCCTCAGCAGCGCAGCCAGGAATACCCACCTGCAGGCTGTCAGTGTACTTGGTGGGGTGGATGGGAGGGTGTGCTTGGTCAGACTTATTTCCATTGCGTGGGGTGGGGCCACCGCGCTCTAGAATGTTTCGAGCAAAGGCCCCCCAGCGTGGATCCGGGGTCTGCTGCTCCACCAGCGCCGCCAGGTCTAGATCTTTGGGGAAAATGTTCGTTTCAGTTCGAGGATAGCTGATGTACCTAAACAAGGCCAAACACACCGAGTGAGAAACAGCTGAAGTGGTCGAGAAACGACTGAACTGACGTAGGAACACTGGTGACCCCAGTAGCAGCCCGTCTGATCCAGGACACTGTGGTCCCCAACGCTGGGGAAGTCCCGAGATGAGACCCCAAAGGGAGGAGCAGCAGGCACTCCTGTGGGTCACTCCCAGGGGCCAGAGTTGGTTCCAGGCCACCTACCCTAGCCCCGCCTCCCACAAGCACACAAGTGCCAATGGTGCCGCCTGCCCCTGCCAGGGTCCCCACGCCCCGCCTGTGAGTGGGATCCGAATGAACTCTGTGGGTTCTTGTTTTAGGTTGTAAGTGACTCTGACATGCCTTTTCCATCAGAAGAGTAGTCAAGGCCAGAATCTCTCCATGGGGAGCTGGTGACATCTAGACAGCCTGGTTTCCCCATGAGCTCAAGTTCTAAGATGCTGCACCCTTATTTAGACGCATCAAACTCTCTTCCCAAATAAGGACTCAGGCTTACCCTTGGGTATACAGCCTTTCTGCAATCCTCATGGTTTCTTTAGCATTTATCCTCAACTTCCGAGATGCCAGCTTCTCCAGCTCCTGTCAGACATGTGACGGAGCATGAGTCAGAGAACACAACATCCACACCCTCTTCTTCAGCACCCCTCGGCCATCACCCTGGCTGCATCACACACGTGTAAAAGGCTGGGCAGGGGAAGGATTCTGGGCCCGTCGGGCAGTCAGGCCACAGCCCAGGGGGTGTCAGATTCTGAGTGCAGAAGCCAGAATGAGTGGGGACAGGAGTGGACACACTCCTGGGCACAGGCACTAGGGGATCTGATGAGGAGGGCTGGACAGGGGCGGGGCCAGGAACTGCATTTCTAACAAGGGTCTAAAGGACTTATTCTAGTACCAGCAGTCTGAGACCTGCACTCTGGGGACACCATCCAGACCTCGGGGCATCCCCTGGTGACAAACATCTATGCAGGCATTCAGGGGGTCACCAGCTACCCCTTCCCTTGGTGGGGGTGGGGGTAGGGCTCTGAAAATGCTGCTGGCTACACGTCTGAGCATGTCAACCAGCAAGGGATGACTCACTTAGGTCCACTGCACACAGCCTGTAACCCCCACTGCCCCGGCCATCCCACAGGCTCCACCTTCAGAGTGAACACACCCTGAACTCTCCTGAAGAGTAGGGACTGGGAAGCGGCACCCTACGGTGTCTTGCTGGGCGGCTTTTCCTGGGGTCACAAAATTTGAGAAGCCCTATTCAGGGCAGGTTCATAAACTGGGTATGCAAAATAAGGTTTACACAGATTATGCAGAAACAAAGAAAATGCTTTTCACTTCAGTGGAAAAAACTAGCTACTCCAATAACAACGCTGTTAAGAATGACAGGGAAAACAGAAAACGACACCAAAACTGTAGCAGCAACCACCTAAGGATGGGAAGCGTCGGTGACTTCTCTCCCTGCTCGTGTCCCACACCCCGAATGGAGCAGTTATGTCATGTTTATTAGCTGCTCGAGCAGGTCCTGCTCTGGGGTCTGTTTTCCTTCCTGTGTGGCACTGGGAAGACAGATGCCCCTGGGCACCTTCTGCAGCAGAAGCTGGTGCCCCCTACGGACACCAGGGCTCCTTGGGGCTGGCACAACTCCCCCCACCAACTCCCATCCAGAACATACCACAGTGTCCAGAGCTTGAGGCCTCCACTTGCTCTTGGCTTTGGACCTGACCTCCACCACCACTGCCCTGGGATCCTGGGAAGACAGGGAAAGCTGAGGTCACCAGCTTGACCAGATGACCACCGTCATCTTCCCCAGCTATCAGGGCCTGCAGAAGACCTGCTTCTACCAGTTCCCCAGCTTTCAGCTCTAGGATCTGCGGTTCCTGGCTGCCCCAGCGGGTCCTTATCTGCCTCTGATGAGAGTGCACTGTTTTGGGACAGATTCCAGCTACACATTTATTAACACTCCTGCTTTCACCTGAAAGTTCTATAAGTCTTTCCTTCCACAGTCAAAACTGTTTTGATGTGGTCTTACTGGTGCCGAAAGCTGATGTCCTGAGATGTATGCTGAAAACTGCAGTCCCGTGGGACATGCGACAAGAGAGGGGCAGCTTGGGAAGTCCCAGGACAGTCTTCCCAGATCACCACCTTCTGAGACTTTCTCACCTCCATGCACAGCTGATAGAGAACGAGACATGCCGTGTGGTTGAAGAGACGATGCCTTTTCCAGCTGAACTCCACCACACCATCCCTGTGGTCATGAGTCACTGTTAGGGACACAGGAAGGCCGTGACTCAGGGAGAGAGGCCCATCACAGGGAGAGCAAGAGCCACCTCGGACACATGACGAGGGGGCGAGGACAGTGGGGCACAAACCACCCCTTAGACCAGCACCCGGGCCGCCCCACAGGCCCCGGCACACACCTCGGATCTTGTGGAAGACTTCCGGCACAAACGCCTGAATGGCCTTGAACCTCTCCACCACGAACCCCAGTGTGGGGAACTGGCAGCTGCCATAGCTGATAAGCTGCTCCGCCAGCACCTCGGGGAAGATCTTTTGCAGCCGCAGCGTTTGGAACCTGGTGAAGGCCGCCCCTAGCAGAGAGGACGGACAGAAGGAGACACCACAGATGGCAAGGTCACGGCTGGATGCGCGCCCAAGCCCCGGCCCCTCCCCCCCCACTGCCCCCTCCTCACCAATCCGCAGGTCCAACTCCTGCCTCACATCCACGGCATCGCTCACTCTCTGGTCGGGCTCCGCCAGGTTTTCACATGCTGTCCGGACGGCGCGGGCAGTGATCTCGGAGAAACGGGCTCGCAGCACCTGCAGGCTGGGCTTCACTGTGCAAGAGAGGAGGCACGGGGCAGGGCTGGTCACATGGGCTCATTGCTCCCAAACCACCCTGAACCCTGGGGGGTGAACCAGTCCAAGAGGCTGTGAGGCATCCAGCTTCACTGGTTCAGTTAAATCAGCCACGTGCTTCCTAAGAGGGAAGCCTCGTGGTGGCAGGCTGATAACTGTCAGAAACAGGGGCTGAATGCATCTCAGCCACCCGCCGAAGCAGCCTGGTAAGCCTCGTGAGAACGCCTATGTCCCTCGCTGTCTTGGGCCTTTAGGGAAAAGCACCCCCACTCTCTGAAGCCCAACAATGGCCTTCAAGTCACCCTCTCACTTACCTGAAATCATTCAGGAGACGCCAATAGTTATTTAATGTCCAGGCATCGAACAGCTTGGACCAAACAGGCAACAAGCCCTGGGCTGTTGGGGCCGAGCCCCTGACACACGGCTGGTGAGTCTGGTAGGGAGACCCGGGCTGAGCACCACCCACTGTGGCCTCAGATACTCACCGGCCTTGCACACGTGGATGACCTCAAACCCGATGTTTTCACCCTCTCTGTCACAGTCGGTCCAGATCACCAGGGCCTGGCATTGCCGGGCCTCTCGCTCCAGAGTTTTCTGAAACGCCCAGGTGGGATAAGAGGGTAAGAACAGGACCTGCAGAGCAACCACCTGACAGCTCTGCACTGGACCTGCCCCGTGCTGGCGAGGCTCCTTGAGATGTCAGCTCGGTGAGGCCTGTCCCCACCTGGTGCATTGAGGAGGCTAGGTCACCAGAGCAGCCAGCCCGGGAGCTCCTAGAAGATGGGGTTTATACTACGACACCCATGCAAGGAGCCCTAAAACTTGGCTCTGACACACACTTTCAGCTTTAGGAGTTCTGACCATGTCCTAGGCTTAAAAAAAAAAAAAAATCAACCCTGAATTGAGATTCATCCCAAGAAGGGTCCCCAGTCAGCAATGAACCAAGGACAGGGGCCCCGACAGCCTGAGAAACCAGAGCTCAGGGCCAGACGGCCACTCACAGGCTGCAGGCTCTCCCTCCAGTGAGGGCAGTGGGAGCTGCTCTGACAACAAAAGCACTTATTCCCAAGATCGCCTCAGGTGGCCACAGTTCATAAACACGCTCACCCAGTCCCTCAGCCACTTAGCTGAAGTGGCCTCACTTCTACAGAATGGATGGGAATGTTTTAAACCGTGGTGCCTTGTTTAGTGGAAAACCTCAGTTCTAATGCCATTGAAATACAGAAATCTCTCCGTTTAATTATGTGGTGGTTGTTCAACTGCAGGGCCACATGTCTCCCAAGATCCTACCTTGATGTCTACAAAATTCTCTGGGCAGTACTTTTCAATTTCCGCTTCAAAGAGGACAAGAGGATTGCAGCTCTGCCTGGAAAAGAAAACACAAAATCCTAACTCAGCGCAGGAGGGAGAAAGCCGTCCCAGTGCCCTGGTGGTGCGTCCCCACCAGATACAGGCCCCGAGAAAAAGCCAGAGGACATGAGTGAGACTGTGACCTTCTGAGAAGCACTTCCCCTGGGGATTAATAGGAGCTGATGAGAAGTTCTGGAGCCCTTTCCTGCATATCTGCAACAGGGTAAACGCAACCCAATGACTGCAAGCAAAGGTCTGGGTGGGGAGTTCCCTAGTTGTCCAGTGGCTAGGACTTGGCATTTTCACTGTATAGCCCTGGTTCAATCCCTGCTAGGTCAGGGGTCTGGGTTATTTTGGGGAACACACCTGAAAGTGTGTGTTTATTCTAAGCATGTGGTGAAAATTCACAGCAAACAAGTTAATCCTAGGTCACTGCCATGGTATCTGCAGTTTGTGTCTTCCTAGATTCACAGGCTGGAATCCCAACAACTGTGGGATGGTGCCAGAAGGTGGGGCCTCCTGGAGGCCACTTGAGCTTTTACAAGAGACCCTGGCCGGCTCTCAAGACCATCCAGCAGGTGAGATGTCAACCGGCTATAGACAGGAAGAGCGCCTCCCGGGACCAAGTTGGTGCTCTGACCTCTGGCCTCTGTAAGTGGGAGAAATGCGTTTCTGTCCCGCACAAGACACCCAGCGCCTGTGTTTTGCTACAGTAGCCGAATGGACTCAAGTCATCTTACTGCTGTAAGTTACCTAACACTGACAAGACTCAGACTTCCCGTGATGCTTTACAGGTCACTGTAATAATCAGAATGTTCTGCCCCCAGGGATTGAACTGACCATTTTCGAAACTGCATCCGGAAATCATGGGCCAGCAAGTGTCCTGAGACTGAGGTCATTACCATGGTGACGTTCTGAATGAGGACAAAATTCACGTTAGCCTTGTTTTTCTTTAAACTTCAACCTTTTTATTTTGTATTGGGGTACAGCCAATTTAACAATGTTGTGACAATTTCAGGTGAACGGGGAAGGGACTCAGCCACACAGAGACATGTATCCATTTTCCCCCCAAACCCCCATCCCATCCAGGCTGGCACATAACATTGGGTAGTGTTCCACGTGATACACAATAGGTCTTTGTTGGTAATCCACTTTACATCAGCCATTACTTTACATCACACTTTACATCAGCAATTAGATTTTGCCAAGTCAAAATAGGGAACTTCTATAACTTCTATCAAAGAGAGAAAAAGTGGTTGTCAGGGAGGATGAATGGGCAGAGCACAGGGGCTTTGGCGGCAGTGAGAATATTCTGCATGGGGTCTTAATAGCGGGTACAGGTACACATTCACACAAACCCACAGAATGCACAAGAGTGGGGTGAACCCTAATGTCAACTTGGGACTCTGGGTAAAGTTGATCTCATGTATCCCGTCAACTGTAACAAAGGTACCATCTGAGGGGGTTGTTGCGGGGCTGTGTTGAGGCAGGGTGTGTGTGTGGGAAATCTCTGTACCCTCCTCTCAGTTCTGCTGTGAAGCTAAAAACACACACTCACAAAACCTCCCCAAACCAGCAGATTGAAAAGAAATAAACAAATATAGCTCTTTAAAGCCAAACCCATAGTGATATTAATACCATTCTAATTCTGGCTCCATGATGCCTTTTATATTTAAACTATGGTATACTAGCTTGTCTCTTGTCATAGACAGCTGACATTGGGATCACATTTTATAAAAAATAGACTTCCTTATGAATTATAAAATGATAACCTGTCACTAGTGATCTTTAGGTCATAGAAACAGTTCTTCTTAAAAGACACTGTATTGTCGACAATAGCCAGGCTAATTCTCCTTGATTAAATAATTCTAAAACACAAGCTCTCTTTTCAGCCATCACTAACACCCCAAGGAATGCACAGCAAGATGGATCCAAAAGCACCCTTCAGCCACAGGATAGAAGCCCTACAGCACCTACCTGGCCACACAGATGATAATCAAACTCATAGATCTTGTTGAATCTTGAAAGTCCTTCCCTCTAGAAAGCAGAACAAAAATAGAAAAAATATATAAAGCACATAAAAACTGAGTCCTCACATAAGGATCAAGCAAACTCCTGCAGAATATTAAAAATGCAACAAAACTTCCTACAGATTAATATGAGGCGAGATCACTAGGCACATTTGTGAAGTGGCCCCTCCACACTCAGGGAAAAGCAGGGACCTGGTCATGTCCACTGTGGTCAGCGAACATGTTTCTACAGGTGAGACTGGACTTGTCCAAGATCATGTGACAATTATTCCAGACAGGATTATGACGAGTCTCACCAGTTCTCTGTTCTTCACACACATCTCTACTTCCCAGCCATACAACTGCACCAATAAACTGGGGACCACGGGCAAGTCATTCACCTTCCTGAACTTCACTTTATTCTGAGTAAAGTCATCTATAAGGTCCCTCTGGCTTTGAAATCCAGTGAAGCTGTGAGTCCTGGTCAGACCTAGGAACCAGCCTACACCTACCTCCTTAGCTGTACTTTTCTGTGATTGAGACCCTCTCAGAGAAGATCCCATCCTTCAAAAAGGTGTTAAAAGTAACTATGTGTGTGAGTTTCACACCAACACAGCACAGAAGACAAGACACAGGCAAAATGGGATTCTGGGAATCTGCAAGCACCAAGAAGGATTGTGTCCAGAACATTCTCCCCCAGCCTCACACAAATTTTCTGTGTGGAACAATGAGTGCAGACCCCTTCAAGGCACAATGGCAAACTTAAAGTGGGAATTTATTTTCGTATCTGATACACGAGTTCACTGGGTCTAGTGCTGCTGCTGCTGCTAAGTCACTTCAGTCGTGCTTGACTCTGTGAGACCCCATAGATGGCAGCCCACCAGGCTCCTCTGTCCCTGGGATTCTCCAGGCAAGAATACCGGAGTGGGTTGCCATTTCCTACAAACTGCAACTGCTGGTTAAGCCCTTTTAGTCCAGAGAAGAGAAATAGTTGAATCAGCAGCATTTCCACCTCTTTCTAAGAATGCATTGAAGCTTCTCAGACAAACTCCTGCTCTGATACATACCAAGGCCCAGGCTCTCTGGCTTCCAGAGGCCGAGTCCAGCCAACAGCCTTGTCCCAGCCCAGCCACCGTGGCGTGTGTCCATGGTCCCCACTCTCCTGGGAACAGTCTGGCAACTGCTCTAATCCTCTTCAAGGGATGACCTGTCTAACAAGATGTGTGCACCCCAGGGCAAGGCTCTCCCAGGCACTCTCTGGGAACTAAAACGTTTTCCTGGCATTTCAAACTTGCCCCCAAGTTCCCAACTGAGGACAGCACTCAATTATGCCTGATTCCAATGCCTAGGTGAGATGCTTGGGAGTGGGCTGCTTAAATTCGAGCAGAGTTCTGGAGCCCAGAGAAAGAAGAAAACCGAGTACACAGACCAAGAAGGTGGCTTCAGTGATCTCTCTGCAGAGCTATCCATGCCGTCAAAATTAGAGAAAACAAACAAACTCCCTCCAGACGCCAGAGCAGTCCCTGCTCTAAGCACTCTGCAGGGAGTGATCACGTTGCTGCCACTGAATTTATAGGACTTCTTCTGAATGTAAAATCCTCAAAGACCTATGAGTTACTAACAGTGGTCACTGTCCGAAGTGGGGCTGCTCTGCTTATACACATCTATGTTCTCTGAACTATCTGCAGTAGTTACTACCATTTAAGCACTACTGTTAAGGAAAAAAAAGATTTTATCTTAAGTTAATAGTGAACTTCTCTCAAATGTACATATGTTTCTACATACGAGTCTTTTCCATGAGGAGTATCTAATTACCTATCAGAACTACAGCTTGATTTTACCCTTCCCTGTTGCCGTTACTTGTTACTTCCATTCTTTTCTATTACTAAGAGGCAAAGACCATCCCCTGATTCTGAGCTCTGCGTGTGGATGTCTTGGCTCCTCCTTCGGAATTTACATCCCTGAAAGGCAGGGTAATTGTGTCATGGGAAGCAACCCCTGTGTGAGGGCTAAGTGAGTGAACAGACTCATCTCTGTCTTAGAGAGTGACACACGTGGGAGAGAGGGACAAGGAGCTGGAGGACGTGACCCACGAGAGAGATCCCCAGCACCAAGAGCTGTGAAAACGCATCTGGAAACAGAGACGGAAATGGATGGAGAGGAGCCTGAGGAAAGACCTCACAAAACAAGTTACTTTACATCACACAGAAAAACTGACTCAAAATGGATCAATGACCTGAATATAAGAGCTAAAACTCTTAGAAGAAAACACAGGGGCAAACCTTCATGATCTTCGGTTTGCCAATGGTTTCTTAGACATGACAGTAAAAGTATAACCAACTAAAGGAAAACTAGATAAACTAGATGTCATCAAACTTAAACTTTTCTGTATCAAGTAACACTATCAAGAGAGAAAACAACCCATAGAATGGATTAGAACATCTGCAAGTCATACATCTAAGGAGGACCTAGTATCCTGAGTATAGTAAGAAGTCACAACTCAATAACAAAGACAATTCAAAGCTGGGCAAAAGACATGGACAGACATTTCTTCAAAGGCAACACAGTGGCCAACAAGCATATGAAAAGATGCTCAGTGTCATCAGTCACTTGGGAAGCACAAACTAAAACCACAATATATTTCACACCCACTTGTATGGTAATGGTTTTGACTATGCCAAAGCCTTTGACTGTGTGGATCACAACAAACTGTGGAAAATTCAAGAGATGGCAATATCAGCCCATCTGACCTGCTTCCTGAGAAATCTGTATGCAGGACAAGAAGCAACGGTTAGAACTGGACATGGAACAACAGACTGGATCAGGAAAGGAGTATGTCAAGGCTGTATATTGTCACCCTGCTTATTTAACTTATACACAGAGTACATCATGAGAAATGCTGGACTGGATGAAGCACAAGCTGGAATCAAGATTGCCAGGAGAAATCAATAACCTCTGATATGCAGATGACACCCCCCTTATGGCGGAAAGCAAAGAAGAACTAAAGAGCCTCTTGATGAAAGTGAAATAGGAGAGTGAAAAAGTTGGCTTAAAACTCAACATTCAGAAAACTAAGATCATGGCATCTGGTCCCATCACTTCATGGCGAATAGACAGGGAAACAGGGGAAACAGTGACAGATGTTATATTTTGGGGCTCCAAAATGACACTGAAGATGACTGCAGCCATGAAATTAAAAGAAGTTGCTCCTTGGAAGAAAAGTTATGGCCAACCTAGACAGCATATTATAAACCAGAGACATTACTTTGCCAACAAAGGTCCATCTAGTCAAAGCTATTGTTTTTCCAGTAGTCATGTACAGACTGAAAGTTCGCCTATAAAGAAGCTGAGTACCGCCTGTTGGGCAGCAAGGAGATCCAACCAGTCCATCCTAAAGAAAATCAGTCCTGATATTCATTCGAAGGACTGATGCTGAAGCAGAAACACCAATCCTTTGGCCACCTGATGCGAAGAACTGACTCACTTGAAAAGACCGTGATGCTGGGAAAGATTGAAGGTGGGAGGAGATAGGGGATGACAGAGGATGCCGCCTCAACGGAAATGAGTTTGAGTAAACTCTGGGAGTTGGTGATGGACACAGAGGCCTGGTGTGCTGCAGTCCATGGGGTCGCAAAGAGTCGGACACGACTGAGTGACTGGACTGACTGAGGGTGGCGATAACTGGGCTTCCCAGGTGGTGCCAGTGGTAAAGAACCTGCCTACCAATGCAAGAAACTTAAGTGAAGGAGTTCAAACCCTGCATTGGGAAGAACCTCTGGAGGAGAGCACAGCAACCCACTCCAGTATTCTTGCCAGGAAACTCCCATGGACAGAGGAGCCTGGAGGGCTCCGGTTCAAGGACTTGCAAAGACTCAGACACAACACAACTGAAGCAACTTAGCATGCATACAGAATAGTGATAATTAAAAAAAGAAAAAGTGTTGACATAATATGAAAAAACTAGACCATCAATGAAGAAACTATATTATGTTTCAGCCACTGTGGAAAACAGTTTGGCAGTTCCTCAAACAGTTAAAGATAGAATTAACTTATGACCCAGCAATACCACTGCTAGGAATTTACCTCAAAGAACTGAAAACAGATATTCAAATAAAAATGTGTGTGTGAGTGAATGTTTACACCAGCTCTATTCCCAAGAGCCAAAAGGTGGAACCAACCCAAATACCCACCAACTGATGAAAGGATAAACAAAATATGATCAGTCTATACCATGGGATATTATTCAGCTGTAAAAAAGGATGCAGTGCTAACACACGCTACAATGTGAAGCTTCCAAAAATGCTAAGTAGAAAAAGCCTGACACAAAAGGCCACATATCACGTGACTCTCTTTGTATGACATATCCAGAACAGACACATATTTGGGGACACAAGGTAGATTAGTGGGTCCCAGCAGCTGGGAAGAGTGGGGAAAGGAGGGTGACTGCTTAATGGCTACGGCATTTCCTCTTGGTGTGATAAAACCCGGAACTAAATAGAGGACAACACTGGGGATGTAGTGAACACTGATGAACTGTACCTTCAAGACAGTTGATACTCACCTATGAAACACGTGGCTCTCTCATCCTCTCTTGCTATGCCCACTGGCTCCTTCCCCCAGCACCCCACACTCTCAACTTTGCAATTTTGAACTTGCCAAGCTGTTTCAAGCCAGTGGGTTGCCCTTTGTACATGTGGTTCTCACTGCTTGGTAAAACTTCAAGACTGAGGTCAAACGTGCACCCAGAAGTGCTGACTGAGGGCCTGCTGTACTCCACACACATAATTGGGTACAAGGGATACAGCAGGGGACCCAACAGCCACAGTTCTTTCCTTCGGAGCTGAGGGTCCATGGAAGGGTGGCGGGGACTCAGATGAGATGAGCAACTTGCACAGCACATTATGGAACTGTAACCAGGAGGTGCCTTCCAAGTAGAAAGGGACACAGTGACAGTTTATCACACTGCACCCTGACCCCTCTGGGGGACAGAAACGTGAGGAAAAGGTTCCCGGAAAAAGAGACACTTAAACGAAGGCCAAAGGATACAGAAGTTAGCTGTGCAGACAGGCCAGTCTCAAGGAGCCTGGAGCCCTATGAGTGGGCATAGCCTGGGGCTGGTCACCAGGACACTCAGCTCTGGGAAAAGGTGATGCTGTCAGCCAGCACCCGTATCTCTGCTCCAGTTCCCACCACCTATAGGCGGGAAACAGAGGCCTGAGGGAGGACCCTGAGATGTGAAAGAAAAGAAAGCAGGGGACTTCCACCCGCGCACTGAGAAATGTCCAGAAAACCATTTCGGGGCCCACTTTTGTAACTGAGAGCGTCCTGAACAGCTTGTAAGGCCTCCGGTCACCCCCTTCCCAAACCTTTTCACTCTCTCCTCTGCGCCTATCGTGGTCCAGAACAGACCCGATCTCCACCTCGCCCGGCGGGACAGGGGCTTGGGCGGGTCGCCCCGTCGGATGCACCCACACGGACGACCCCGCAGGTTCCAGAGCAAGCTGGGGGAGTTCGGCCGGCGGTTCCGCGTCTCCGACTGGCTTAACACCCGCCGCCGCGCAAGGTCTCTAAACAAACTAGAGACACTAACTCCGTTTCTAAAAGCCCGTCGGTCGCAGCAGGCGCCCGGACGCCCTGCCCGACAGCAGGGGACGCCCGGAGGGAGCAGCGGCCGCTCATCCCCGTCCCGCCCGCCCGGGGACCTTCTCACCCGCCGCATGCGGCCGCCGGACAGCAGGTCGGCTATGCCCTTGGCTGCGTCGTTCTTCTCGGCCACGCAAAGGATTTTCCGGACGCCTCGCAGGGCCACCTCCATGGCGGCGCGAGTCAGGGCCCGAGCACCGGGCCGCGGCAGCCACTGGAGAGCGCGGCGGGCGGCCGGAAAGATCATTCCCGGGCCCAGCGCATCTGCGGGGCCTGCCCCGGGAACAGGGACTCGCCAGCTGGTCCGCGATCCCGCGCACAGCCTGCTTCCGCCCGCCTTCCAGCCGCTTCCGCCAGCGCTAGCTGCACAACCCCGTGAACTACAACTCCCAGGCCGCCCCGCGCGGCTACCTCACTTCCCTGCCTACCCGCTTCGCGCTTGGGAGACGGCGCTCTCCCGTTCGGAAGTTGACGCGGACGCTTCCGGGTCACGCGGCACTACAGCTCGAGTCATGTGATACCAAGATGGCGGCGCCGCGGTAGCTGGATCCGGGTTGTGGCGTCCGAGGAGCCGCGACGGTTTCTGCCTTCGGGGCGTGGGAGTCGCCACCCTTGGCTGGTCCGTGCTGCAGCCCGTAGTCCCGCACTGGGCATCCGTCCAGAGGTGGGGCTGTTGCCGTGGCGGTGTGCTCGGGGGAGCGCCGGTGACCTCGCTGCGGGTGCCCTGCGCCCGCCGCGGTCGCGGGAGGAGGCGAAGGGCAACCAGTCTCCTGGGTCTTCCTGACCTGCGGAGTTCCTGAGGCCTCCGGAAGCCTTGAAGGAGCCACACCTTTGAGGGGCTGCGGGAGCTTGAACCTCCGGTTTGTGACTCGTAGCCTCGGACCTCTGAGGGCGCAAAGAAGACTGCTCCGCAGGCACTTCGCTTCCTCCTCCAGAGGCCTGGCTCCCCCGCGTTGGCTACCTCCGCAGTGTGTCCTACTTCTTCTCAATGTTCTTCCCATATACCTGGAAATATGATCAGCGCCCCTGACGTGGTGGCCTTCACCAAAGAGGACGAGTACGAGGAGGAGCCTTACAATGAACCGGCACTGCCCGAGGAGTACTCGGTGCCGCTCTTCCCCTTCGCCAGCCAAGGAGCCAATCCATGGTCCAAACTGTCCGGGGCCAAGTTCTCTCGGGACTTCATCCTTATTTCCGAATTCTCTGAGCAGGTGGGACCCCAGCCCTTACTGACCATCCCCAATGACACCAAAGTTTTCGGTACTTTTGATCTCAATTACTTCTCTTTGCGGATCATGTCTGTGGATTACCAGGCCTCCTTCGTGGGGCATCCTCCTGGCTCTGCCTACCCCAAACTGAACTTCGTGGAGGACTCCAAGGTGGTGCTGGGAGACTCCAAGGAAGGGGCCTTTGCCTACGTGCACCATCTTACCCTGTACGACCTGGAGGCCCGTGGCTTCGTGAGGCCCTTTTGTATGGCTTATATCTCGGCAGACCAGCACAAAATTATGCAGCAATTCCAGGAGCTCTCAGCTGAATTTTCCAAAGCATCAGAGTGCTTGAAGACAGGCAACAGGAAGGCTTTTGCCGGGGAACTTGAAAAAAAACTGAAAGATTTGGATTACACCAGGACAGTGCTACACACGGAGACAGAGATCCAGAAGAAAGCCAACGACAAAGGCTTTTACTCATCTCAGGCCATCGAGAAGGCCAATGAGCTGGCCAGCGTGGAGAAGTCCATCATCGAACATCAAGACCTTCTGAGGCAGATCCGCTCATACCCTCATCGCAAGTTGAGAGGGTCCAATTTGTGTCCTAGGGAATCGGAGCACACCCAGGATCTGCCCAGCCAGGCAGCCGCTACCTCTGACCTTGAAGAGTCTGCTGATACCGACCATTACACCTGCAGACCCTCCTACACCCCGAAACTCATCAAAGCAAAGTCCACCAAGTGTTTCGACAAGAAGCTCAAGACCTTGGAGGAGCTCTGTGACACCGAGTACTTCACCCAGACCCTGGCGCAGCTCCGCCACGTTGAGCACATGTTCAGAGGGGACCTTTGTTACCTCCTGACCAGTCAGATTGACAGAGCACTCCTGAAGCAGCAGCACATCACCAGCTTCCTCTTTGAAGATTTGGTGGAGGTTGGCGACAGACCGGCCGAGAAACAGGAGAGCACACTCTCTAAGCCCCATCACTATGGGCTGCCTTCTGAGTCTCCGGAAGACTGTTTGGTTCCTCAAGTGTTAATCAGCGTGGGCTCCTACAAATCCAGCGTGGAGTCCGTGCTCATCAAGATGGAGCAGGACCTTGGGGATGAGGCATCAAGGGGAGCGGCGGTGACGGAATCAAGCAGTTTTGACCCCCAGGAGAACTTGGACTACCTGGAGATGGACATGAAAGGGAGCGTTAGTAGTGGAGAGAGCATCGAGGTTCTGGGCACAGAGAAACCCACCTCTGTGCTGTCGAAGTCTGAGAGCCAGTCCAGCCTCACGGTGCCCTTGAGCCCCCAGGTGGTCCGGAGCAAGGCGGTCAGCCACAGGACCATCAGCGGGGACAGCATCGAAGTCCTCAGCACCTGCCCCTCTGAGGCCCTCATCCCCGACGACTTCAAGGCCAGCTATCCAAGTGCCATTAATGAGGAGGAGTCCTACGCAGAGGGCGGCCAGGGGGCCATCCTCTTCCAGGCAGGCATCAGCCCTCCGGAGTTGGGGGAGGCCGAGGAGGGCAGCTCGGGCCTTGCTTCGCTACAGACAGACGCCTCCTGCTGCATCGGGAGGGAAGCTGGTGCTCTGCTGGTGCCGCTCTCCACCCCAGGCCACACAGTCTCTGATGAGGATGGGGTCGTGAGCGTTCCCCCACAGCGCTACCGGCAGAAGGACCAAGGGTTCCACGTGGACTTCTCGGTGGAAAATGCCAGTCCTTCCCGAGACAACAGTTGTGAAGGCTTCCCTGCTTATGAGCTAGACCCGAGCCACCTGCTGACCAGCCGAGATGGCAGTAAGACCAGCCTGGATGACCACTCTGACGCCACCAGCTATGGGAGCAGCGTAGCCTCCACCAGCTCTGACAGGACTCCCTCCTCCGTGCCTCCTACTGGCCTATCTTCCGAGAGGCACAAGAAGAGGGCGGGCCAGAACGCCTTAAAGTTCATCCGCCAGTACCCGTTTGCCCACCCAGCCATCTACTCCCTTCTCAGCGGGAGGACGCTGGTGGTCCTGGGGGAAGAGGAGGCCATGGTCAGGAAGCTGGTGACTGCACTGTCAATCTTTGTCCCTGGCTACGGCCGCCATGGCAAACCCGTGAAGCACTGGCTCTCCTCCCCTTTGCACATCACGGACTTCCAGAAGTGGAAGCTTATTGGCCTGCAGAGGTAACTGGTTATGGGGTGGGACAGGCCCTGGCCATGAGAGATGAGGTGTTGGGTGTCCGTCCCTTGGGGCGAGGTTCATGGGTCCTGTGGGGGGCCCCACACCAACTCACTGTGTCACTTTTAGCAGATCCTTTCCAAAGGGACTTCAGTTCCTAAGTGTTTCCCGACCCTGGTCTGTACTTTGTTGTATCAAAATTGTTTGGGAGCATTTTCTAGAATCACTTGCTCCTTGGCCCCACTTGCAGAGATTCTGATCAGGTTGGCTTGGGGGATGAAGTGGAGTCACATGGTTTGCAGCAAGGTTTGGGAATGACTGGACTTCTGGATCTCAGGTCCCTGCTGAGTCTCTAGTTCACATTGTAGTGTAAATGACTGAGGTGAGGTCTGGGTCTGAGGAGGGTAGCGGTGCTGGGAGAGGCATCCTTCCTGGCTCCCCCCTCCACTGTCCTGTCGGCTGCGGGAGCCTATTCCTCTACCTTTTGAAAGCTTTCTGTCTCCACTTTACTCCCTTGTGCTTTAGCAGTTCCTTTTGGGGTTTTCCACTCTGTTTGTCTGGTTTGAGGGACTCCTGCCCTTGAGTGTGCTCTGGGCTCAGCCTCCTCGCTCCTGTCTGCACACCTGCCTTTGCTCACCTGCGACATGCAGGCGTTGAGGGGGGCGATAGTTTGAGTCCAGTCCCGGGACCATTGAGAAGGGCATGCTTGAGTTGCTCTCCTGCAGTGGGCACCCAGGCAGGGCCCTCCTCCCTTCTGGGGAAATAGGAGGGTTGCGTCACTGAGCAGTCATTTGACAGATGTTTACTGAGGCTGTTAAGTGGCAGCTGCTGTGCCCAAGGCTGGATTATAGATGTGTCCGCAGTGGGGCGTCCCTGTGACAGGCTGCCCTGCTCCTGCCCCAGCTGTGACCTCTCTGTGGGCTGGGTGTTGGGCCAATTTGTGTCTGATCCCTATCTGCTGCTCTCATGTCCCCACAGGGTGACGACCTGCCCTGAGGTAGGCAGGCTGGGCGGCAGGAGCGGAGCCAGGCCCTGGCCCCTGGCCTTGGAGCCATGGAGGGTCCCTCCAGGAAAGCGGGAGGCCCGTCAGCAGTGACAGCTGAGACCTTGGAGGTTGTCTGATGACTCGTGCCATGAGTTCTCCTTCCCAAAGCTCCTGAGTGCACAGGGGTTAAGAATTGGGATATGTGCCCCCAGAGGGTCCTGCTTGGGGGTGAGCCACAGTGGACAGGCTAGGGCCCTTGCCCTCCAGAGCACCTGTCACTGGAGGGTTGACCGAAAGACCAGGAGGAGAGTGGGGACCGGCCTTGCTGTGGCTTCTCTGAAGGTGTCCCGGGCAGTGAGCTGCGATGAGGTGAGGGGCACTCAGGGGATGAACCAAGGCTAGGGCAGGGGTCCTGCAGCTGCCCTTTGGAATAGGAAGGGGCTGCCTCCTGGGATGCACGTTGAACCTGGGCCCCAGGCGTGCTCAGAGCTGAGGTGGGTGATGAGCCAACCCAGCAGGCAGATCGGACACCGAGACGGGAGGCAGATCGAGGCCCCTGAGGGTCAGTGCTAGAGGGTCCAAGCAGAGGGTGCCTCTGTGTGTCCACGGGGCTTGGTCCCATGTCTTAAGTCGGTCTGGAATCTGAGCTGGACCCAGGACAGTCTGTACCCGCCTCCCCTGGCACTCCTTCCCTTGCTGAGCGAATCCCACCCGCCTTCCCGCCTCTGACATGCAGGGTACCGCATGGGTTACAGATCCAAGTCTGCAGAAGCTCCTGGCACCATACTGGTCAGCACCAAGCTGGGGGTGAGGGCCAGGTACTGTCCTGAGCACCCCGGACTCAGCCTTTGTGGTGACCCAGTAGCTAGGACCAGCGTCTGTCTTACAGACAAGACAAGGCTCGGAAGTGAAGGAACTTGACCAAGTCATAGAAGAAGAAATGATGGTGTACATGGGGGTCGGGTAGGCTGGGTGAGGTTTGAGTTGGCATAAGCCAGGCACAGCAGGGAGGACCTGGTGTTCAGGCAGAGCAGAACCTGCCGCCCACTGGAAAGCTTGGCATGGCTGTAGGGGAGTCCCCAGGGAAGTAACAGCTGGGCCTCAGAGACCAGCAGAAAGCGGGTCATCAGGGCTTCATGGGCCACACTAGGATTTGACCTCCATTGTGAGGGCTGAGGAGCCGTGAAGATCGCTGTGAGCACATTTGCCTTCCAAAGAGCACTAGCGAGTGGGGCTGGCCTCTTGAGAGGGGGCCCCACCCCAGCTTCTACCCCTTGACCTTGATCTGTGTGTTTCAGGGTGGCGTCCCCCGCCAGTGCCGGTGCCCTGCACGCCCTGAGCCGCTATAGCCGCTACACGAGCATCCTTGACCTGGACCGGAAGACCTTGCGCTGCCCGCTCTACAGGGGCACCCTGGTGCCACGGCTGGCAGACCACCGCACACACATCCGGCGGGGCAGCACCTACTTCCTGCATGTGCAGAGCCTGCTTGCGCAGCTGTGTGCCAAGGCCTTCGTCTATACCTTCTGCCACCACCTGCACCTGCCCGCACATGGCAGCGAGGCCCCAGAGCTGGCTTCCAGTCGCCAGGCCAGCTTCCTGCAGCTGACGCTGGGGCTAGTGCATGAGGATGTCAAGGTGGTGCGGTACCTGGCGGAGCTGCTGCGGCTGCACTACACGCAAGAGCTGCGCGGGACCAGCCAGCCTGCCCTCAGGTTCGACTACGTGCCCAGCTTTCTATACAAGATCTGAGTCCTGCCCGGCTTCAGTGACTAAGAACTGTGACCCAGGGTTGGGGAGGTGTTGGCATGACTGGGCGGTCCTCTGAGTTGTTCAGACTCCTGCTGTTGTCAGCGGGAAGGACAGCAAGGCAGCAGCCATGGTTCCCAGGTGCTTCTGGGCAAGGGTGGAGGGCCTGGCCCTCTGGCAGTGTTCCTTGGAGGAGAGTGGTTGGGGTCGCGCCCAGAGGCTGGGACAGAAGAAAGTCTCTGTGGTGGATGAGGGCAGCGGGGCAGAGCCCATGTGGAGGACCACACTGGTCACGGGCAGCTTCTCTGGACACTCAGACAAGCAAGGTCAGGGGGCAGCTGTTGCCTGGAGGACATCGTGGGAAGCAGGACGAGGCCCTTCTTGGCTTTGTGGAGCCGCCCTCTCAGGGAGGCCCCTGAAGGCACCCTGCCCAGTCCTCACCTCCTGACCAGGCATGGAGGCACCTGTCGCTGGGCTCCCCAGCTCAGCAGTAATGAGCAGAATCACTGGCACCCCATTTTCAGATCTGTTCTCAGGGGTGGGGAGTCCTGGAGACAAGGCCACGGGGTTCCTCGAGGAAGAGCCAGCCCTGTCCACCCTTCCCTGGCCGGGTGATTCTACTCTGTCCTTTGAAAGGGTCTGCCGACAGGCCGGAGTTCAGTTGGCAGAGGTCACCCCAATCCTCACACCCACAGCAAACCTTTGCAACCACTTCACTACCTCGTGGGGTGTCGCGGGCCTGGCGGCCGCTTGGTCCTATTCAGCTAGCCACCAGGCTGGGGTCTCCAGGAAGGCTGTGTGGCAGTCTCGGTGATCTGCCTCAGGGGCTGTGCCGGCCTGGAGCGTGGGCACCTACGGCAGCTTGCTCTGCTGCACCTTCCCGCCCCCGAGTCCCCCACACCTTCACCCACAAGGACCCCCTAGGCTCTGACAGTTACCCCTGATGTATATAGATGGATGGTTTTTGCAACCTTGAGACTTTCGTACCTTTTTTTCCTTATGCTGTTAGAGAGAACTCTTGGTGTTACTGCTTTACGTTTCCCTAAATTGTGATAAACACACCTGAACCAGCCACAGTGGTTGCTCCTGAGCACGTGTGTGCAAGTCTGCTGGGGCCGCATTCTGTGTTGTTGTTGGCTCCGTGTCACCTCAGTCCGGTGGCTTCTCCCTGCCTGGGCTTCTGCTCAGGGTCTCCATTCCCACTGGAGGGCTGATCCTGCTCCAGAGTCTATGACTGAGGCCCCTTGGGGGCATTATGTCGCCTTTTCTCGGCTCTGTGTACCTCTGCTGTCACCTGTGTTCCCCCAGAGGTGTCTCCGGGGATGGCCCGGCGGCTTTTAAATGTGCATTGTTGGCACCGGCAGGAAGGCTGCCCTCCTGTTACTCCCCACTCCCCCTCCTCGTGTTCTGAGGCTGCTTTGTTTCCAGGTAGGTGGCTGATTGTGTCTACTTGGGCCTCCTGGGACATGAGCTTTTGTGACACCTTATGTCCAGGAAGATCAGTGGGCCATGGGGCCCTAGTGACCAGATACAAGGTGACCACTGGCCCACCTGTTTTGTTCCTGGGCCATCAGCATGGGCTCAGCAGTTCACACCTCTTACTTAGGAAGCTGGGAGGGGCAGCAGGTCAGTCACACTGGCCTCCTTGAAGCAAAAGTCCAATTCTGGAGAGTATTTGTGCAGAAGCTACACCTTAAGTGGTCAGGAGACCCGCAGGGTGTGGAGGGCAAGCCTGGCTGGTGTGAGCAGGCCTGGCCATGGGGCAGCCACAGAGTGGGCACCCAGGAGCCAGTCCCTTGAGCTGTGTCTTCACTGAGAAGTAGCCTTTGCTAACTAGTGGTTGAACTCCAGCATTTAAATTTTAGTTAAAATCCAGCTCTGCAGTGTGGCTGTTTCTCAGGCTTGCTTGATGGCAAGTGTTTCTCGTCAGAGGATCTTGAAGGGGAACCAGGCCCTCCCTGCCCGCCCACAGTTCCGGAACCTGCCGGAAGTGTCAGACGTACCCATAGTCTGAGCAGTGGTGGCCTGTGCAGCAGCCTGTCTTGTCTTCCCTGTAATATTAAGTGTTCAAACACCAAGACACTTAAGAAATCAGGATATCAGCGCCCCTAGTACTTCTTCAGTCCTAGTGTCACCTTGGAGGCCCAGGCATCGAAACCTTGAGGTTGGTTTCAGCTTCACTTCCAGTCTGTTACGTGCACTGCGCCCCCCCTCCCCCCCACTTTTAAAGCAGTCCAGGTTATGAAGAACCTGCTCAAACTGGCAGTGAAGAGATTTCCAGAAGCTCCACACCCGCCGAACCCTTTTGGCAGCCCCTGGGGGTCTTGCTCCTTCAGTAGAATCTGATCCCGGGTCATTTCCCAGTTGGTTCTTTAACATCTTGTTTTAGGTCAGTTACCATGTGCAGAGATTGTAAATTTCACCCCCAAACTAGTGACAAGTTGCAGGAAGGCTGGTAGATTCTCCCCCAAGTGCCAGGGCTGCTGCAGCTCGTGACCCGTCCCCAGAGGCCTAGCAGTCCAGACGACCCTGCACGCAGCTTGCCGCCCCCTCCCCAGCCTGATGTCACCGTCCGGCCAGCTGCTCCCTCAGTCCACGATGCTGCCGCTGCCACGTGGTCTCCACACAGACAGGGGCCCTCAGCTAGTGGACAGCCTTTCCCATCTCCCTAGAGGCTTGAGAAAGTGCCTTGGCTCGTGCTGTGAAGCAAACCAACTGGCTTTCTGGCTTTTCCCGTGTTGTGGTAGAAACTGCTAAAACTGGAATTTTTAAGAGAGACGGCATTAACAGACTGCAAAAAGGAAAAGCATCAAATCTCTACTTCTGCCCAGAAGGAAAACCGGCTTCAGCTAGGGTTTGAGCACACTGGCCCTACCTGAGGAGGTTTGGTTACCACTGCTGTGGGGAGGAGGGAGCAGGCGTGTGGGGTGGGCGTGCGGCGGCCTGGGGACCCCCCTTTCTCTCATGCTGGGCAGTGTGACAACCCCACAGCCTCCAGAGGTGGTGGTTGCCCTGCCCACTGTGCTGGAGCCGCCACCCACCACTGCGTTCAGGCCACAGTGAGAAGCATAGGACATGACAAAGTCGTATTTGTCACTTTTCTAAAGGCTATTTTATTATTGCATGTTCCTTGTCGTGTGTGAGCGTGGGTCCCCCGGGTGAGCTGGGCACTGCAGGGCGAGAGCACGCTGCACATGCATGTGCCCGCAGCTCTCGGTGTGGCTGCACCAGTTTAACCAGTCATGCCAAACAAATAGTATGAGAAGTGTACTTTTTAAGAAATTAATTTATTTGAGTTGAGATATTTTTGAAATATAAAAATTGGTTGTATTTTTTAAAACTATAATTCTTGTAGACATCCTGTGGTTAAAAATTTAACTGTGCTTATTAAAAATGGTCATCTATGTTTTGCACTTGAGATTTGTGGAAAATAAAGTTTCTCTGGGAAGGTGACCTCTGTTTTCCTGATCAGGGGAGGGAGATGGTCGTCTGGACCTTGGTGGCTCCAGACTGGCTTCCAGGGCCACCTGTTCCAGACTGGGAGAGGAAACCACACATGTCCCCCTCCTCCCAGGTGTGACAGCCGGACTCCCACCTAGCTAGGTGGCACCCGAACAAAATCATCTGACCTGGGATTCTGGTTGAAAGCACAGGCCAGGACGCTCCCTCCTCGCCCACGACATCAGGGCTGAGCCCTTGTCTGGCGTCAGAGCAGCTTCTCCCAGCTGCAGCTCAGTGCTTCTGTTTGTCACATGTCGGTGGGGGGGGGGGGGGAGGGGGAGGGAAGCCCAGGGGATCAAGAGGGGGTAAAGGTCGCGGTGTCTTCCCAGCAGCTGTGCCCATACTCGTCTGGATAATTAAAGTGGAATGGCTAAATTATATTCCATTTTCCCATGATAACTATATTTGCAGCTGTAAGAAGGTGAGGTTCAGATTTATACTCCTTCATAACTTGTCCCAGAAGCTTTAAATGTTGATTTGTAAAGAAGGTAAAAAAGAAGGTAGCAAATTCTGAAAAGAGGCCTCTGGAAGGGCCTTTGTGGGGCCCCCAGGGCGCTGGGTCCCTGGGCGGGCGGGCGCTCCTCTAGAAGTCAGGCAGGCCAGGCAGCGGGAATAGGGTGGCGAAGCTCTCCACTTCTGCCCTGAGGGCCGCCACGGCCTGCTGGTGCTCCTCAGCCCCTGCCAGCTTCTCCATGAACTCCTTCAGGGTGGCCTTCACCCCTACAGCGTCCTGTATCTTCAGGGTCAGCTCTATGCCTGTGCCAGCGAGAGACACCAGTGCCCAGCAGTCAGCCAACCGCTCTGCCGTCCAGGCACCAGTGTGCCTCCCACCCACGCCCACCACCCTCTCTGCCCACGTATTCTGGGAGAGACTCTGTCCCCTGGCCCATCACCAGCCCTGACACAGAGCAGTCCTCCCCTCATCTCACAGCCTGGCATGGCCAGCAGCCATGCCTCCCCTCACCTCTGTGAATGAAGTGGGCGACTTTTTGGAAATCTTCTTCTAAGAGCCCTCGGGAGGTCAGTGCTGGGGTCCCCAGGCGCAGCCCACTGGGCCGTAGTGCACTTTTGTCACCTTCAAGATAAACAGGCTCTATCCCCCACTGATCCCCCTGAACCGAAAAGGGACGCATGGGCAAAAGAAATGGGCCTGAAGATACCAGCTTGAGTGGGCACAGCCTGAGCAGGCCAGAGTGCAAGGCAGAAGCCAGGAGGTGGAGCCAGGTGTCAGCTGCACTACTTTAAATTTGAGGAAGTGGCCTCCTGGACGTGGTCCTTGCTCCTGACACCAGGCGTTCATGTCTGCACTTGAGATGCATCTCCCACATCTTATTCACGAGCCGCTGAGAAATCCAGTTTTCCAGAGGGCCCGCACCTCCCACACCCTCTCCTGCTCTGTCCTGGGCAGGGTCAAGTGTCTCATCAGGGGGCAGGCAGTGGGGGAAAGCCTGGCTCCTGTCCCACACAGCACATCTTGTCCCCAGAGCAAGTCACCATCAGCCCCAAGAGGTCCAGACAGGAGAGGACCAAGGATGCTCACCTGGGCAGGTATTCTTGTTGCAGGCGATGGAGCAGGCTTCCAGCACCTTCTCTGCCCTGCCGCCATCCGTGCCTTTGGAGCGGAGGTCCACGAGGATCAAGTGGTTGTCAGAACCCCCTGGAAATCAGGTGGGAGACATGGAAGGTAATCTTCTGCTAAGCACAGGGATCCCTCTTCCAAAGAACTGGCAGGGTGCAAGGGGGCTACAGCAGGTGAGATAGGGAAGGTGACCCCATCAAGTGTCCTGCAGGGCTGTCATCACCTGCTGAAGACCCAGGGCCTCCGGGTTTGAGATGATGCACAGAGTAGTTTAGAAAAGGAGTCTGAGAATGCAGAGGGGGCTGAGGGCATATGGCCAGCCCAGAAGGCCCGTGGCTGCATCCCAACCCACCAGCTCCCGGAAGCCTGTCAGGGTGACGACCCGCCTTGGGAATTTCCCACTTGTCTCTAGATCCATCTTCAAGGCTCCCTCTAAGGGGCCTCAGGGCAGTGGGCAGGGGGCGATGCAGGTGCCAGGGTAACTGGCACATTACCCCTAATCCTGCCAAGGTGACTGTATCTTCCAAGTGGTGCAGGTGAGGATATGGAAGAACTTTCTGGAACAGCCCCTGGCCTCCCAGGCATCTCAAGCACCTGATCTTCCTGTGAATGAACCCTGCTTAATCCCCAGGCACTGACTTCAAAGATGCTCATGGCCTAAGCTGACCCTTGGCCCTCAACCCATCCTCCCACCCCTACCCTCACTGCCCCCAACTCCAGTAGTCATGAGGCTTTAGGAACCTCAGATGCCCATTTGTAAAATAAGACCAGTGACTTGCAAGGCTGTTTCAGGGTTCGAATGCAGAGGTCATGTGTCCAGAGCTGGGAATCCTGAGTCACCCCAGAGCTGTGGCCACCTGCCCAGGACACGACCTACTGCCACACCCTGACGGAGATGGGACGAGGAGCAGGGCCACCCCATGGGTTGACTTCCTGCTGTACCTGTGACCACTCTGTAGCCCAGTCCCATCAAGGCCTCGGCCAGAGCCCTGCAGTTGGCCACCACCTGGCGCTGGTAGGCTCTGAACTCCGGAGTCATGGCCTGCTTCAGAGCAACTGCGACCCCTGGCAGGAGATGAAAGGCAGACCATGAGTCAAAGAAACACCTGTCTCCACTCGGGCATCCAAGCTTCTCAGTGTCATCAAGGCAGGGTTACATCTCCTCCTAAATGATCCCATTTTAACCCTGCCATTCCCTGGCTGGCCCTCCAGACCTCTCTGAGCAAGAGTTTTTCAGGCAGCCCCTGTCCAGCATGAAGTTCTGGGCTAAGATCGCCACGGGAGAGCTTCTCCCTGTCCCCAGCAAGGTGGACGTGGGACATGCTTCACTTGGCTGCCACTGCTTTGATGCAAAGTGAGGCAGCTTTAGGAGCAGAGCCGGGGAGAGGAGTGGCCGATCCACCAGTTCATCCAGGCTCCTCTGGATTTGTTCCATCCCAAGGGCTGCTTAAAGGGGCACTGAAGATGGAGGAGGATGCAAGCTACCTGCCTGAGTCCTGGCATGGGAGCCTCCAGTCAGCATGTGGAAAGGGCTGGAGTGGCCAGTGGATGGGCACCCCACCATCGCAGAGCTAGAGCACCTGGGCGCTGAGCTGGGGGTGTAAAGGGAGCCACCCCACCCAGCCCAAAACCTAAAACTCGTGCTTCACTGCTTCCTCCACATCCCTCCTTGCAAACACTGGTTGAAAGGGAAGTGACACCTTGACCCTGGCTCTTCCACCAACTGCTTTTCTCCAAAGATGGAGAAGTAACTCTGAGATCATCACAGATTCTCTAAGGCTTGTGTACCATCAGAGAACTGCTTCTGCCTGGGGTGGGGTGGGGTTGCGAGCAAGGTGGGGATCAGGCTGCCAGAGGGTAATAGCAGGGAAGCCATGGGGCAGGGTGCGTTACCAGCAATGGCATGGTTGTGGGGTCCCCCTTGCAGGCCTGGGAACACAGCAGAGTTGATGAGCGACTCCAGGTTGTAGCGAGTCTCTTTGCCTGTCTTGGGGTCCACACTGCACACTCCTGGATGAAGGGCAATATGGGACATGGGACAGGCCGTCCCTTCTGTCTTCTCCCTGCCTGGACACAGACCTGGCCTGGCCCCCACTCCTGGAGCTGACACTGTGGACCAGGGAGGGTGCTTGCTCCCGAGGGGTTAGGGGAGGGGGAACCACACTTTAGAGATGAAAGGAAGGATGAAAATGTCCCTCCATCAAGACAGGAACAAGGAGTATGCCTTGGGCAGTTTCTCAAAGAACCATCCAAGATGATGCTTCTGGAGGAGATGGGGCTCACTGGGCCAGAAACGGGAAAGAAGCTTCCTTTCTGAGAAAATTAAGGATCAGGGATGGGAGCTGCCAGCATCTCCACAGAGCTTGTGAGCTGGGAACTGCTCTGAGCAGCTTCCCTAAATTCATTCATTTAATCCTCACAACAGCCATCCCAAGGGACAGGTGCTATTGTGATGATCTGGAGGTGAGGAAACAAGGCACAGAGGAGCTGCACAACTAGCCCAAGATCACACAGGGCTTCTGTGGCAGAGCCAGGCCTTGCTCTGTGACTGGGTCACTCAAATGCCACCAACATACAGCAGGGAAAACAAATGTCTCCCAGGTGGGTGGGAAAGGCTGCTGGCCTTGGAAAGCTTAAAGCAGCTGGGGAGGGGTCTCCAAGGAGAAGCAGGGCCCTGGAGGCCCAGTGGGTGATGGTGTGTCCAGCCCTAGCCAGGGGCTGGGCAAGGGGGTCTTGCAGGGGTTCAAAGAGACTTGGTCCCCAGAGGGGGTTGTTTCTGTTGACAGAGCTTAGTCACTGGTACCATCTAGGGCTGAAGGACCATGGGACCCTCATCTGGCTTCTCTGGAATGGAAACCCCAAACAAGGGCTCCATCATCCAGACCCCTCCCTACCCTCCTGCCCCATGACCTGGACTGCTGTGCTCTCACCCCCTGCTCTTCATGGGACCCTGACACCCCCCAGGGATAAGCGCACCCTTCCTGTAGAAGATCATGCCAGCGCGGCAGCCCCGCAGGGTCTTGTGGGTGGTGGTGGACACCACGTGGCAGTGCTCGAAGGGGGAAGGCACCACGCCAGCCGCCACCAGCCCGCTGACATGTGCCATGTCAGCCATGAGGTACGCCCCGTTGTCATCAGCGATCTTGCGCAGCCGGGCATAGTCCAGGTTCCGGGAGTAGCAGCTAGTCCCTGAGATGGCAAGGGTGATGTGGAGTCAGAGACCTTGGCCGGCAGTCAGCTCCAGCACAGAGCAGAGCCCCCGCCCCGCCCACCCGGTGTGCCTGCCTGAAAGCCGGGGCTGCTCCCTCTAAGGTTCGAGAAATCCCATCTGTACCAAAGGCAACCCCTGCCCTCTGCCCCTGTGCCACAGGGTCAGGGGGACAGGTTCCCCACTGTTACCACCCCAGGTTCACAGGGGCCAATGTGTCCAGATGCTTCTGGAGAGCAGGGCAGGTCTAACAGTCCCGAGAGAGACAGAGATACTCAGACTGGAGCAGCTCGGCTGTGCAGCAGAGCGGGGATCAGCACGCGCTGGAAGAGCAAACCTCCCGTGCGGGGGGGCTAGGGCCCTGCCCGACTCTCACCTGCGATGATCAGCTTTGGGTGGAAGAGGCGGGCGTTCTCCTCCAGCTGGTCGTAGTTTATGTAGCCGGTATCGGGATTCACCTGTGGAAGTCACGGAGACCGGGCTCACGCTGCTGCCTCCAGCCACACGGGCCGCCCCGCCAGAGCACGCCCAGCCGATGAGGCTAAGAGGACTCCCTCCCCTTGCTTAGACCCCTCTGCTGCCCTCGCCCCTGACCAGGACTTGAGGGCAAGACAGGCACAAGTATTTAAGACAGTCAGGTATTGTCACTCTTGGACAGGATGCCCTGCGGGGTCCCAGTGGGCCGTGAACACCCAAGGGTCCCCAGAGCAGGGAGATGAGAGACAGTGATGGCGGGACTTCCTGAGGTCACTTGGAAATGAAGCTCCTTATTCCTACAGGCACGGCCCGTGAGGAAGCTTTGAGAAACAAGCCACAGAACGGAGAGACACACTCCCATACCTTGTAGGGCATAGATTCAAAAAAGATGGACGTAGCAGAAATCTTCTTCTTGTCGGTCATGAACCCATGGGTCAGGTGGCCCCCATCCGGCAGGTCCAGGCCCATGATGCGGCCATGGGGTTCCACCAGGGCCGTGTACACTGCGAAGTTTGCTGGGGAGCCTGGAGGGGACAGACCGGGAGGCACAATTACACCTGCCCACAAGGGCATCGATCACAAGTGGCTGCAATAGCCTGGCTGCTGTCAGGCCCTCTCCTGGACCCTGGTGCCCCTGAGTAAGTGGCAGGGACATTCAGAGATAGGGGTGGGGTGCCCAGGAGGCATGCGTGGAGTAGGCAGTTGAGGGGGATGGGGGTGAGACCTCATCTCCCCCATCTGGCAGGGTGTCCTGCTTATACTCTTGTTTTCAGGGAGCCCCAGGAGGCTGGCAGGAAGGGGGCCACCCAGGCCTGTCTGGAGCTGGCCATTACCTGAGTAAGGCTGGACATTGACCCCCCAGCACTGGGGGTCCAGGCCATAGACCTGCAGCGCTCGCTTCTGACAGAGGACCTCTAGCTCGTCGATGAACTCCGTCCCACCATAGTACCTGCGAAGGAAGGTGGGAGGTATGGGCCCACTGGCACCACCTCCGCATGCAGGACAGAGGCCAGGCTCCTGGTGGGATGAAGGAGCAAGGGTGAGAACACGCACCTTGAACCCACGAGACGGCTTCCACCAGGCCCAGGTGGCCGTGTCTCACCATCCGTGGGGAGGTCTGACCCCACATCTCGGATGAACCCTGAGGACACTGTCACAGCCATGTGATGGCCTGTGCCAGCTGCCTAGGGGTCAGTTCATAGCATGTGGAGCAGGACAGTGATTGCCAGGAGCTGGGAGAGGGAGTTACTGGTTTGGGAGGATTTATTTTGCATTTCTAATAAAATTTTATTTCTTGTTTAATAATTGCATATCACAATGCATCATGCAGTTATGTTTTTTTATTATTTGTGACTAGTTTTGGCCTGGGATGGAAGCCATGCTCTTCAAGTCGACTTGACTTGCCAGAGAATGGGTGCCCCTCTCTCCTGCCATTGTCGTGGGAACAGAGCTGGGGGCAGGGGTGGTGTGCCATGGTCACCATGCCCTCAGTCCCAGCAAGAAGCAGCAAGGCTGCAGCACCACATCTCTGAACAGAGGCACCAAAGTATCTCCTCCAAGGTCAACTAGAAACACTGGGGCCCCGGGAAGCCTGGGGTTTGAACACAAGCTGGGTGTCCCACAATTCCACTTGGTTCCCATACTGACCACCCAGAGTCAGTGCAGACCCACATGCTGAGGGCTCAGGCCCACAAGACCGCCACCCACTTCAGATGCCAAAGGCAAGTCCCTGGTCACTGGGCCACCAGCACTGCTACCCCACTTGGCTACAAGTGATCCCCTCAGTTTCAGTAATTCACTTGAAAAACTCAAGACTCAGGAAAGCGCCTCATGATCCCTGGTCTATTGTGAAGGACTCAATTTGTGAACAGGACAAGGTTCAGGAGGGCATGTGACCCTACAACCCCCTTCCAGGGGGATGGGTGTGGGGGTCCAAAAATTATGTGTAGAATAATCAGTGTAGAACAGCAGGTGACCCTCCTTTTTCCATGTCCTCTGGGACACAAGTGAGCAATTTTGCAAAAACCACATGTTAAACTCTGTCATCACCATCTCTGCCTGATGACAGCTGTAAAAAACAGAAATGAATATGACTTCTGGCTCTCAGGAGGAGAAGCTGACCGAAGTCTCTTGTAGGTAAACCCAGCATTTAAAACGCTGACCCGGTTTCCAGTGTGTCAGGTCAGCCTCACCTTGGGGTCCCTGCCCGCACAACCTTCCTCTGGAGGCTCAGCCACAGCCAGCAGCGGCTCCTTCGGGCCTGGCTGTTATTCTAGAAAGGCCCAGGGGGACTGTGCAAGTGACCCCAAGTATCTTGCCCCCAGAACATGGGTGCCACCACCCGCTAGGAATCATAAGAGAGGAGGGGACAGGAGGTCCTGCCATTGAGAACCTGGTTGTTTTCTGAAATGTCCACTCCCTTCCTGGGAGGCAGGCCTGGATGACACTCACATACCTCTGGCCTGGGTACCCCTCAGAGTACTTGTTGTTCAGGCAAGAGCCTAGGGCCTCCAGAACAGCCCGGCTGGCGAAGTTCTCAGAGGCGATCAGCTCCAGTCCAACCCTCTGCCGGTTACTCTCCTTCTTAATGATGTTGTAAACCTGACAAAAGAAAACAGGAATGGGGACACTGCAGTTTAACATCTGCTCTGATCCGAGCGATAACCGAGTAAAGAGAAGAGACACTTATACTTTCATATTTTGCCCTCAGAAGCCAAGTGTAACCAGACTAAGATGACTCCCACAGCACCTAAGGAACCTTTTAGCACATGGGAAGGAATTAATAGAAAGTGAATTAAGGAGAACAAAACGATGGAAGAGAAGATGATCCTTAAAACACGCATCCCACAAAATTTTAAAATTCTGCGCCATCTTGTTATTTTCATCCCTAGATTTCACCAAGTTTCCCTCCTGAACCTTGTTCCTTATTCCTTTCCTTAAAGTAATAGATACCTAGATGAATCCACAGAGACAGAAAATAGACCAGTGGTTGCCAAGGGTTGGGAATCTGGGGGATGGGGGAGCAATTGCTAATGGGTTTGAGGTTTCTTTTGGGGGGATTAAAATGCTCTAAAAGCGATCATGAATACACTAAAAATCACTGAATTGTGTACTTTAAATGGGCAACTTGTATGTTAAGTGCATTCACTTATCTCATGTGTAAAGCTGTTGTGAAAATACATAAATAAAAGATGCTTCTAGAAATGCTCCCCTGAACTGTAAGGAGACGGTCAAGTCTCAGTGACCCCACCCCTTCCCCTTTCCTCAGCAGCAGCCAGCACACTGCTCTTCACAGAAACTCAGATTTAAATGCACCCTCAAAGGACTTTCAGCCACTTTGTAGCCACTGCCTATAAACCTGTCCTGTATCAAAACCACAAGGCTGTCCCAAACACAGCTCATTTCTGGTGAGAATCAGAGGCCTGAACAAGGACCTCCAACAGCAGAACTTGCGAGAACACCCACAGCCTCACCTCGACATCGCTGTCCTTCAGGGGCTGTGCCAGCATCTTCTCGTGTGAGGACCACAAATCAGCATCCCTGGGAGCCCTGTTGACTGGAGCTGCCATTGTGCTGGTTCAGAGGCGCCTAAAAATGGAAAAACTTCAAATATTAAACTCAGTCACAGCTCATAGCCACCTGTCAGTTCCCAAGCTGCTGAAGTACTGACACACGTGTGGGCCTTGTCCCAGAACCGCCTGGAGAGCATGAGGACTCTGCTGCAGATCCACCTCGTGGGACCACCTGTGGATCCCTGCAGGTCACTGGCTCCGCAGGAGACCCACCCTCCTTGCCTCAAGGCTGCTCCAGCCTCGGGGAGCCCAGCACCCCCTATTCCTACCTGAACTTCTCCTGGTTGTGGCTTAGCTTTCCAACTAAGCCAGCTTCCTGAAGGCAAGGGCTGGTGGTTACTTTTTAAAAAATTTCCCACAGTACCTGGCACAGCCATATGAGAGTAATATTTGCCAAATGAACAAGTAAATTGCTGACTTATGTATTACTTTTTCTATTTCTCAAGTAATGAAAATGAGACTCAGAAAAGTATCTTAGTGGAGGGCTGCACAGCCCACTGGCCTTGGAGGAGAGCCTCAAACCCAGCACAGGCTCCACCACCTGGTGTCCCGTGGCTGGGGCTGCAGGTAAACTGCATGCTCTGGGTTGACCCTGGGCCTCTGGTAAGGACCACGAGCAGAGGTACACGCCTGGACTCAGCATCATCACAATACAGCAGGCTCGTGTCTCCACATACGCGCCCACAAAGAACAAGAGTCTGAGCTCAGTGGTATTTCAGCTGAAGGGACAGCGTAAATGTTTACAGGAACTGACCTCCTTTAATCGATGGTTGGCAACTTTTCAGCACTTTCTATTAATTAGATAAGCTTTCATTTCAAATTCATTCCCTTAACAGTTACTTATCGAGGCCCTTCCCCTCAGCAGCCACAGATCGGGACTGGGAACACAGTGGGACCCAAACAGACTGAACCTTCATGGAGCTTCCTGGGGGAAGGTGAGCAGGAAACAGCGAGCACACTAAATGCAGACAGATAACCAGGCCCACAAGGACAAGCGCTGGGGGCAGGTCGGCTTGGAGGGTGGTGACTAGGGAGAGGACACCAGGCTGAGAAGGGGCCCATCAGATGCAGTCTCCTGAGAGCACCGTGAGAATATAAATAATTATACACACACACAGGTCCCTGTGATTTCCTAGTGACAGGAGCATCTCTTGTTCCAATGATGCAACTCGGGGTGGGAGGCTCCCAAGTTAGGGCTGTTCCCAGAAAGACCAGGCCATGATGAGAAGCATTTTCAGCCCCCTCAACTCCTCTAGAGAGGGAAGGGGGCTGGAAATGGAGTTAATGACTCCCTCACAGGGTTCAGGGAGCTTCCGGGTGGTGCACCTCAACCCCACGGGAACCCTCCCAGCCCTCTCCCTGAACATCTCTCTCTTCCTCTGGCTGCTTATCTGTGTCCTTTGTCATATCCTTTAATGAACTGGTGAACGTAAGTTAATGTCTGCCTGGGTTCTGAGAGCTCTTCTAGAACATGTTTGAGTCCTGGGAGGGTCCTGGGAGCCAAGTCTGACAGGAGCTGTGGGTCTCCTGGGGACCTGCTACTTGTGACTGGCATCTGCAGTGGGGAGGGGCAGCTGTCTGGTGAGACTAACCTGCGGGGTCTGTGCTCACTCTGGCTCACGTCAGAACTGAGCTGAAATGAGCGACACCAGCTGGTGGGGCAGAACTGCTGGGTGAGGGAAAGCCACCTGGTCGTCTGGTGTCACAGGTGCCATCAACAGCAGTTGGGAGAGTGAAGAGCAGACACAGCAGGAAAAGCATGGTTCTCCTGCACAAGCACACATGCAGTATCACTTGTTAGACACATATACCCACTAAATAAACGAGCCACACAATCCCCAGTCACAGTATCCTCCTTACTCTCTGGAGAAGCAAATATCTACCAGCAGGAAGCTTCAACCAGGAAATCCCAAACTGGGGTTTTTAAAGCCTCCATTATTTTAACATGAGCACCATGGAATCAGAAACAGAGCCACTCCCACAAAACCAGCAGTGAGTGCAGGACTTAGGCCACAAATGCATCTGAGGCAGAAGTGGCCCCAACCCAGTGCCAGGGCCTCCGCCACACTCCCCCAGAGGTGCAGGGAGACGAGGTGGTCTGGGCACCTGGCTGATGGCTCCTCTGAACTCAATGGCTGCTTCCCACATGCCCTCAGCAGGTGGTGGCAAACCCACAGAAAACCAGAGACCAAACGGATACACTCATCCTACAGTCTTTTCAAAGAGAAAAGTTTCTCTGAAATTCCAACTGCTCAGTGTTAAAAAGGATTAGAGCAACACAGAGCAAGTATTTCTCAACCACCGAATAAATAACTAAAGTCCTTTTGGAATGCCTTCTCCCCCCTCTCCCAGGAAAGTTAGATCTGCATCAGCTCCTAGAGGCACTCAGATCCACTCTGCTCCACCTCCACCTGTGGTCTCAGCATCTCCTGTAGCACTGCCACCTGCAGCCCTTTACCCTCATAGCAAACTCTTTCTTTTATGGCCGCACCGCAAAACATGTGGGATCTTTCAGGATCAAACCCGTGCCCCTGCTTTGGGAGCACAGAGTTTTAACCACTGGACCACCCGGGAAGTGCCAACAAACCCTCCTCTCATCTAAGATGCGAACTCAGAGTCCCAGTTCCTTCTCAACCCCTGGGTGAGGGCTGTCTGTGTGGTCAGCCCCCCTCCAAGGCTAGCAGGGCCCCCCTGCTCCTGCTGCCGCTCTCTGGGTGTGTTTCCCACCCTGCATCCTGTTACCACTCAGGTCAAGTCACCCCCACCCCCCAAATGGAGTGCTCAGTTCACATTCTTATTAAATCCACCCAAGTTGAGTTCTTTTTAAAGTTCTTTAAAAAAAAAAAGTCAAAGGAGTCTGAATTCTTTACTAAAACAATAACTTCTGGATTCTTTGTCTTGTTTCAGTTAAATCTGTAATATCTATTACAGTATAATGTATATCTTGTTGCATTCTAAATTACAGTAAGAAAGGCAGAGATCCTGAATGTGATGGTTAGCTCACACATCAACCTGGGGGGACGCCCTGACAGCTGGCAAACAAGTGAGACAAAGATCCGTACACTGTCCTCTTTTATATCAGAGGGAAGACCAGAAGATACACTGAGCATCTATCCTTCAGGTCTGGATGCTGGCTAAGAAACAGGACACCTTGCACTTTTCTCCACTTTTTTTTTGAACTGTGACAGAAGTGCACAGCTCAGTGACATTAAAAACATCTACACTGTCATGCAGCTCCACCACCATCATCTTCAGAATGCTTCCACCTTCCTAAACTGAAACTGTGTCCCCATTAAACACGCTCCATTCCCTTCCCTTCCAGCATAGGGTAGCAACTATGCTAGTTTCTATCTCTATAAATTTGACTATTTCAGGGACCTCCTGTAAATGAGGTCACACAATATTTGTCCTTTTGTAGCTGGCTTATTTCACACAGCACAATGGCACCAAAGTTCAACTGTGTTGGCACACGTGTCAGAGTTCCCTTCCTTTTAAAGGCTGGATAATAGTCCACTGTTCGGAGAGACTACCTCTTGTTTATCCATCCATCCCTCTAATGCCTGGGCTACTCCCACCTCCTGGCTATTGAAAAGAATGCTGCCGTGAACACAGATGCACAAATATCCAGTCCCTACTGGCAATTCTTTTGGGTTTATACCCAGAAGTGGAATTTCCGGGTCATATAGTAATTCTACATTTAATGAGAAATAAGCTTTTGATATTTAGGAGCTTTACTTCATTATCATTAACCTACAATGGATTCATTTGTTCCTTTCACAAATATTTATTAAGTGACACCTGTGTCCCAGGCACTGAGTTAGGAGCTCAGAATACAAGGGTCAACAAGACAGAGGCCCTGCCATTATGAAAAGCAGGATCTAAAAAAGTAAATAAGTTCATGAGAGATAACATCACGGAGTGATGACTGTTAGAAGGGCAATAAACAGTCAGAGGGCTTGTTCAGACCTGGATGGAAGGCGCCTGAGCTGAGGTGGAAACCGTGGAAAGGAGCCAAGCTTGTGAGCCGTGGGGCAACAGCAAACACCAGTCCAAAGGCCCGACAATGGGAAGAGGTTTCAGTTGTCAAGGGTCAGAAATGAGGAACACAACAAAGACGAGATGAGATTCGAGGGCCTAAAGGCCAGTGCAGGGATGAGAAGATCCTCACCTTGGCAGAACAGAGCTCACGGATTTCAAACTGTGCTCAAGGACCTAGGTCTCATGTCATTTCCCAATGTACCTGTTTGAGAAATACCTGTCTGAAACTAACAACTAGAGAAACCTGACTGGAGAAGATCAAGGTTCCTTTCGTGAGAGCAGTGGACGTTCCACGGGTTCGACCCCTGCCATGACCCACTTTCCATCAGTGAAGGCCACATCCAAGGGAGCTGTGCTGAACTCACTGCAGAGCCAGCCTGCAGAGTTTGACTCCCACTCTCCACTTCCTAATGTGAAGCCCTGGCTGCTGACACCTGTTTCTCAGTCTCCGTGTGCATGACACAGGGATGATGCCAGTCCTGAGCTGGTTGGAGTTAAATGAGGTGTAAGACACAGAGCACTCAGACAGGACCAGGCAGAGTGACTACTCAACAATCAGCAGCTACGGGACGTCACCAGTGGTCCAGTGGTTAAGACTCCGTGCTTCCACTGCAGGGGCCACGAGTCCCATCCCTGGTTGGGGAACTAAGATCCCACATGCCATGTGGTGTCGTCAAGAGATTTTAAAAAAGAAAGAGAGAGAGAGAGAGAGAGAGAGAGAGAGAGAGAGAGAGAGCGAGCAGCTACTATTATTATTAAAGAGACATAGGTACCTCAGGGCCATCTTTACTACCTCTAAGCACCCCGGGAAACACAACCCACTGCAGCTGTCACTGTGTCATGCTGTTGATGTTTCTGTTGGAGAGACGTCACCTATGACACTGTCCATGATCATCACCTCAAGCCCAGGGTAACAATCCGAGTAAGTGAATTCACTTCCCAGGGTTACCATCCTTCCC